CATGCAATAAAACATTGAACTGGCTTCCCGAAAAAATAGTTATCGTATGAGAGTGAAGCATACGGTGTGCTGACTTACAGCACAGTACGTACACGGTACGACATGCCATAACATTGAAATGGCTTCCCGTAAGAATGGTTATCGTATGAAGGGAAATGTTGATGAGGCTTTAAAAGTTTTATTTTAGTCCATAATCCAACGATTGCTGGGAGGAATAGAGTTTCGATAATAGTTTATTTTTGTCAATTTGTTTTGTTTCTTTTTTCCTTCTAGGCAATACATCAACAGTTACAAGAAGCTCTCGAAGAACAAGAAAACCTAAAAATACAAATATCAGAATATGCGAGACAAGTTGCAAGAATAGAAGAGTTGCTGGCACAAAAGGTACATCTGTTTGTTGTTACTATAGAAGAACTGTTATAAATCTCCGTTACGCGTGGTGCTTCTCCTAACACTTCTCTCGTGTTCTGTCAACCCCGGCATGCTTTATAACAGCACACAGCACCCGCGCGCATTTTTTATTTCTTCCTCATTACGAGGAATTATCGAATGACCACTAAACAGAGGTTGTTCGCTTAATAAATTGAAAAAATATTGATGAAAATTTATAACTACGCACAGCACAGCTAGCAAGTTTATTAATGTCAAAATAGGAAGTACGCGCGCGTGCTGTGTGATCTCATAAAGTACGCGCTCCCATCCAATCCGCAGAACACGAGATTCATAACAGTTATTTTCTAATTTTATAATAAATTTTTACTTAAAGTGTATATGACACGAAAACATTCCATCATTTAAAATGTATAGTTTGTTAGTAATAATAAATATATCGTAACAAAATTTGTTTCAAAAGCTTATTTCTTGAGATATTTGCGAAAGTTAATCCCAATTTGTGACGTCATTTTGTTGACACGTACTCTAGATTCAGTAGTAATGTACTAAATATAAATTGTAATTCATATAAATTAACAACAAAAGACATATTTTAGTCAGCTTCATTTGATAGCTTACGTAGTACTCTTCCAATGTTGGGAAATTGAAAAGTGTACTACTTGAAATTAAGATTCTATATTCAAACATATTTCGTGTATTTGCAACTAAATCTGGAGACTTGTAAACAAAATGACGTCACAACTCGTGCTAAAATTTTTTGAATTTCTAGAGAAATACGTTYTTGAAACAAATTTAAYCATGATATTCTTATTAATGCCAATAAACTACACATTCTTAACATTAAAATTTTTTCGTGTCATATACACTTTAACATGAAGGACCATGAAAAAGAAGATCTAATGGAACAATACAGAGCCCTGACGTCAGAGGCTGATCGGCTGGTTACCGAATCGAAACAGTCAGCAGATCAGGTATCTAACTACCGAATGGAGATCGTACAACGGGAACAAAGCGAAAGAGATACGAGAGACAAACTGCGGCTACTGGAAGATGAGATTGAACAGGTTAGTATGGGTTACCTGTGGTAATAAGTAAATGACCCAAGAGTCCTGTTATTCGCTTACTGCGCATGCTCAGTATGAATGACAGTGATCTGGTCGAAATTAATAATTGTGTTTGTAGACTGTGGGTAAAGTTAAAAGACTGGGTATGCTATGATAAAATAAATTTTAAAAGCATTTTTGTCTAAATAACCTGTGCTAAAAAAATCGTGTGTTTAAACTGGGTATTACCCAAATTTTCGTGATTTTTAAAACTCTAAAAAATCTTTTAACTCTTTCAATTCTTTTAAGTTGTTTAAAAAACTAAATAAATAAAATTATAAAGATTAGTGGGGATAAACCTAAACTATATATAAACGCTCTACCTCTAACACAGCTAACCCAAGTAAACTTTCTTTCTATCGTTCGATGGTACGTGTTAGGATGAGCTATTCCTGAGAAAGACTTGCTCACGTGTGATCAACGACAAACCTTCAACCAAACGTCCAAAAAGACCGTCAGCAAAACGAGGCTCTAGAAAATAACATGGTCACGTGACTCGTAAAATGGAAACATTTTAATCTTAGATTTGAATTATGAAATTTGTATAAATTATTTAGAACTGCATGTTTTAATAATTATGTGAATACTAAGAAATAAAAGGACATAAAAATTTAGATCTTTATAAATTCGAGGTAACATTCCTGAAGAATCACGTTCACTTCCGTCACGCATGCGTCACGCCAGCCTTCATCATATTTAATTTTAACACAATAAAGAGTTAATAGGCCTCATTTTTGTCACGCATACGTCTGAGCAAAGATGATTGATCTAAGATCGGAGACCACAAGGAATGTGGGCTCGGGGTCTTAGATTTATCCATGATTCTTTGCGGTGCATGAGGAATATAAATGAGTGCGATCATGATTATTATTAGTAGTAGTAGTAGTAGATATTAGTCTAAATGTAAAGCGCTTTTGAGCTATAAGTAAAAAGCGCTATATTAAATAAATATATTATTATTATTATTATGACACCATATAATCCATAAAATCCTTACATTAATCTTAGTTTCCGATACTGATTCCATAAGTTTTCGTTCCTTCGTTCTTGGTGGTCGCTTAACTAGGCGTGAGCGACAGAGAGCGAACTGGGACCGACTTATGGAATCAGTCTAAGTTTCTGAGTCTTGTATCATCATTTTCAAATTTAATATCATTAAATCTCATAGCTTGTAGATATGGAATTTCTAATACAATATTTTAAATAATTTAATCAAATAATTGCAATAAAATATTGTAATAATTTTTCTACTTGGCTGTGTTGTGTTCTACCTGTGATCTTCTAAACTGACCTCCATTTAAAAAGCCTTAAACTCGTCGGTTTTGCCGCTCAACATGCCTTGAACACCACGTAACATGAGTTCTGCGTTTATAGGCCGATCTTTTTTTTACGTTTTTTCCTCATAAGCATAAAAAAAATTTCAAGCTACAAGAAACCGACTCCAGAAATCGAAAGAGAATGTCTTATTTAGTAACTACTGAAAATTTGAGAGTAATTATTTTATTTATGCTAATGAGGAAAAAACGTAAACAAAGATCGGCCTATGCTAGGGGGTTGTTCGTTATTTTTGTTGGGTGGAGGAGACGGGTGTTTGTTTGAAGGGAGATTATGAAAAAAAGAACAGGTCGAAAAGTCGTTCAAAGAGGGAAAATACCCTTTTAGCTTGGGTGTAATGTTTTCCCATTTCAGACCACGTGTCATTCCCTAGATTATCCTTTCTTTGTTTAACGGTTACGCACGAAAAGATACATGAAAATGGATACAACTCAAATAATCTTAGTATTGAATAACTCATAGTTTGAAATTGGAAAACATTAATGTCTAGCTAAAAACGGATCTATTGAAACTCTTTTTTTTTTTTTGCTTTTTGTTTTTGTTTTGTTTGTTTTGTTGTTTTTTTTGTTGTTTTTTTTTGTTTGTTTGTTTGTTTGTTTTTTCGCAAAAAATTGTATGAGGAATAATGGCAGATGTAAGAGGTTATAGGGGATACCAAAGCCTCCCTCCTCTTTTTAATCCCAGAACATTGAAGCCCAAACATGATAGATGTAGGCGGCGCATGCCCTCTCCCTTTTCGAAGTCCTACATCTTCCGTAGAGTAGGACACACATTTTAACGTCTGTGAAGAGGAGACGTCAGTTTTTCCATTGCTGTTGCCGTAGTTATTCCAAGGGGTAACCTAAGCATGTTTTTTCAGCATGTTGCAGCCGCAAATGAATACGAAATGCAAGTATCGAGCCTCACAAGATCTTTATCTCAAATGGAGGGACAAATGAGGCAGGCCAATGAAGACAGGGTAAGGCCCGGGCCAAACTTTGAACTTTACATGAGCCGTAAGCATTAATAACAAAGGACAATAGGTTCGGCTCATGTGAAGTTCGACGTTTTGACCTCAGTAGTTTAAGACACGTTTTTAGTTCCGCCGGTGTAAAACTCACGTTACGAACGTGCCCTGCCGTTAAGGTTTCCACTTAGGGCACCTTCCGTGTGACCAGTGAAGACCTCACAGCACGAACACGGTCGTGACACGGCGAAGCATGCGCCAGACCATTCACATTGCGCGAGAATTTACTCTTCATCCAACCAAATTCTCGAAACACGACGCGGACACGGTCACGCCAAGGTCATGGCACTGCCAGACCAATCACATTGCGTGAGAACAAAAAATACACCAATCAAATTTCTAGAGGACTTCGCGGTAAGGTAGCTATATTATACAGCACCGACTTTTTCACGGTCAGACGAAAACCTGCTTTAGCAGAAATTTTCTGCGCTGTGATTGGTTCCGTGCCGTGCCGTTTCACAGTCATACGAAATCTACGTAAGGGAATTCAGCCAATAAAGATACATGTGGATACGGTACCTTGGTCATGGTCACGCCAGGTCATCCAGCCTGCGGTCATGTTTGCGCTGTATAGCCTTGTTGCAGAAACTCGGTGATCGCCCACGGAAATTCTACTCGCTAAGGAACCAATCAGAGCGCATGATGTCACCGGAAGTAGTGCCACATAATGATAGAAGATAATGTTTGCCTTTTGTAGGAAAACTTATTGCAAGATATCAATGCCCTCAGAGAATTGTGCAGGAAGCTGGACCAGACGAGAGAGTCGTTGTCACGGCAACTAGCCACTAAAAACCTCGATCAAGACCAGGTTGGTAATGAATGAAGCATTAGTAACGAATTGACTAGTGGGAGGGGACGGTGGGGAGTCGAATGTTACTTGGATCCTTCTAGTGAAAAGACCCATGCTTTTTGACCTTCAAATTTTATCAATGCCCTGAAACAACCTCTGGACCGATCTAAATCAGGGCACTGCTAACTCACAGATCCAATTAGAATTTAGGTGGTAAAGTTTTGGATGGGATGAAAACCAGAGAAAACTCCTCGAATCATTGGGGAGTCCCAACAAAGTCTACTCACATGTGTTCTGGGAATCGAACCTGAGACCTCCTGAGGTGAGAAGTGAATGCACTATGCCAGAGTTAGTTAGTATAGGGGGCAATGTACCATGTTGCCGCCAATCCACAGTCAAATGCCGCATTAAGTTTTGGTGCCGGAATCAAACTTTTGGGGGAGGTGGGGTGCCCCCACTCCCTACGCTAGTGTCAGAGTTAGTCGCAGGAGAAAACAATACGCGTATGTATAGAAATATCTACCCAATGTAAGAACTCTGTACCCAGGAAAAATAACAAAAACATGGCTGAATAGTTTATTTTCGTTCTACCAGCTGCGAGAACTACTAGAAGAATCCAAAGGGGAGACAGAGGCGCTCAGACGAAAAGTAAGTATTCAGTATAAGAACTCGTTTGTAGACAATGATACGATCATGTCAATTCATCTGTACTGGGGAATATTAGGATCCTGGATATTCAATGTAATTTTAGTTTCGTGTGTAAATAGATATATAGACCCCCTCGATGAGTTTTTGCTCTTGGGGTTAACATGTAATTTAAAATGTTTATGAGGATCAAATGATAAACTTTTGAAACACAGTACAACTTATTTATAGGTGTTTGACGAGAAAGAAACCGTGAGGAGTCTTGAAGGAGTTATCGCCAAACAGAGACAAAAGGTACATGTGAATCATCCTATAGACCCCTTGTATTGAATTCCTAGAGGAATTGTTCTGGGGGACAAAACAATAGGCCGTCTTTTCTTATGCAAAAAATCTTTTATTCTTTTGTACCCCAGAACAGTTCCTCTAAGGACTCAGTGTAAGGGGTCTATAGCGTCAGACCATTTCACAGATCCCGCGGCTCAACCTCAGCCTTGTTAACGTGTAATATATTCTTTAGAAATTGCCTACAACCTGTGAAATTTTTAAGTGTTTCAATTGTTCGTTGATGTGTAAATTCCTTTCATTACTGCRGACTGTAGTCAAATTCTAAAGAATAATTACACGCTGACGAGGCTGAGGTTGAGTAACGGGATCCGTGAAATGGCCTATTGGAAGGAAATATACTGTACCATGTAGTAACATATTGGGATTCCCAGTTGACCAGATGTAAAATGTTATTATTTTATACGTCGAACATACTTGTTTCGACTGCCTCATATATCTTTGTTGTTAACTGTTTACCAGGAATATAGTGGTCGAAAATCCCTGGAGACTACACTAGAAGAAGTAGACAGACTGAAAGATAAGCTCTCCAAGCACGACCATGAAAAGTAAGCAGTTTTCTACTCCTTACCTGACGCACAAGCTAAGAATCCTAAATCATCAGTAATATTTGATCAAAAATTTCATGGTGATTTTAACAGCGTTTCTTTTTGATCAGATCCTACCATAGACAGGAAATTGAGACTCTAAGACAGGCGTCGGGCCGACTGGAAGACGAAGTATCTAGACTACGGAAGCAGTTAATATCAGAAAAATACGAAAGGTACTCCGATCTTAGAAGACTAGAGTGGTACAATTTGTACGCAATTGATATGTTATACATGACCTAGAAGTGCTGATTTTTACCAATTTTTTAACGATTCCTTTTTAAGAGAGAAACTTGTGCACGAGACAAGTAGAGTTGGTTCAAGTAAGTTGAGAAAGAAAGTCCTATCAAAATTTATAGAGCGGTTTTCGTATAATTAGGAAGCATACGGTACTGACTTGTAGCAGATACACGGTACGATATACTCTAACCCTGAAATGGCTTTCCATTGTCTTCAGTTACAGTACGATACAAATTTCCCGTATCGTTTCTTACTCGTACGAAAAACGCTCTATCTCCGCTTCCCACTTTTGAGCTTACTCAAACCTAGCATGTAAGGGTAATATATTTCGTAACTGCTTTCTTTACAAAACAGGATACTCGCGCAACACAGACCAGCGTCTTCACACGTCATTCACAAGCAGTGAGTTCGCTAAGATGCAACCCAAGGACATGTCATCACCTTTAGCATCTGATACCAATGACTCTGGGGCTCGGGTCATATCACCAATACGACGATATAGTGATGATGTAAGTAGTTATATATAATAAACTATTGATGGGACTATCAGTGATGGGTGATAAGTCACCGAATGATCCAGGAAATAACCTTCAAATGTTTTCAAATCCTGTGCCATGCTCAACTCGCATTAACTACGTACTACTGAACGAATTGTTACCTGGTTTGTCCCATCTATTGGTATCTAACGGCTGATTCGTATTTATTTCAATCACTAGGCTAACTGTAAGTTCGAAACCCCAAAGGGACCAAACAGCGTGCTATTAAACGAATTAAAGGGAATAATGAAGCAAGTGAAAAAGCAAAATTATCACTAATTCGTTTTATTTTCCCTTTTAGGACTATTCTGATGCAAGTTAAAGTAAATTTCTTAGACAAAAAATCAAAGAGAACGTGTCCATAAATACAGGGTTTGACTGTACAGCACACTTGCCCTCTACAGTGTATAAATGAGTATATGAAGGTGACAAGTATACTCCTAGTTACAGTACTCCAACTTCGGCATATTTTGCTGTATATCCATCCATACATACCATGCATTACTCTAGAAGATTTGAAGCCTTAGGCATGCATGATCAGATTGTGTAGGTTCTTAATTCACGATTCAAATGGTTACCAAGTAACTACCAACTATCTATTAATTTTACGAGTGTGAGATGTCGTCTCTGTCACTAGCCTTTGTTACAGTGACACAGTGATGGGGGCCAAGGTTTTTATTTCTTTCTTGTGTTATATATTTGCCTCATCATTTTTGCTTCTTCTCTATCCCTCTCATATTCCCTTTCCTTCTAATCTCCTTACCTTCCAATCTTCTCTTTCCTTTTTCCTTTCATTTTTTTAAAGTATTTTTAATTTTAATTAGTTTAATTATGTTTTAGAGAAAATAAAAATATATGATTCCAATTTTGAAGTATAAATAAACCTGTGCTAACAGACCTCTGCCTTGGGCCTAATGTTTTCCCATTTCAGACCACATGTCAATCTCTTGAATACAAGCTTCTTTGTTTGAGCTGTATCCCATATTCATGCGTCTTCTCAAGTGCAACTGAACAAAGAAATAATATTCTAGAATATTCTAGGGAATGACACAAGCTCTGAAGTGAAAAAAACATTACGTCAAAGATAAAGTGTCCTATAGACACATAATGAACACTAGTTGCTGATTTCCTCACATTTAAAAATCACCCTAGCAACCAAAAGTAAAATTATCCAACTGTTGTGATTTTATATATATTTATAACTTAACATTTTCAAGACTGTAAATATTGTGAAAAAAATAATAATCTTTTTATTCTTTGCTACGTGTAGAGTAAAATATTAAAGTATTTCAAAACCAGCACATCAGGCTATAATGATCTTACATTTTGAATAAATAACTTTGACTAAAATACCTACATTGTAAATTCCTCCTCACATTTGGTATTGCACTAGTTGGTGTTTACAAACATTAGCATCGACATGTTAATTTGCCGACCATTATCACCACAGTTCTTGTCAAATTGCTTTGTTTTATAAGCAAATTGATCTCTGGTTGGCATCRTAATGAGAGTGATTTTACTTTGCCCGTGAAAGAATAGTCAATGTAATGAAGAAATAGAAAACGCACGCGCGTGCTGTGTGCTGTCATAAAGCATGTGGGGGTTGGCAGAACAAGAGAGAAGTGTTAGGAGAAGCACGATGTGTAACAGAGTGCTTCTCGACACTTCTCGAGTGTTCTGCCAACCCCCAAGTGCTTTATGACTGCACACAGCACAGCAAGCAAGTTTTTTTTCTTTTTTAAAATACAAGTTACAATAACAGATAGGAATGATGCAATGGAAAGTGCGTGTGCGTGCAATGTGCTCTCATAAAGCACACGCTCCAAACCAATCAAAACGCGACATTCATAACAGTTATTTTATAATACAAAGTAGTAGACCAAAATTCCATTGTTTTCTTTTGTCTCACTTGACTGTCAGTCACTATTTATACAACTTTGTTTCAACATACAACCAAGAGGACTGGAATGCATTGGAGAGCCTATGGAACACAGGGCATTCTTACCTGAAATATAACACTTAAAAATGGAAAGTAAATCTAATCTTTTCACTTTTGTATCTTTTTCTCCTCTATTCCTACATTTTTTATCACACATTTTTAATAATAAAAGTTGTTCTATTATTTTCTTACTCGTAAAGTTTTTTAATTTGTTTACAAAAATGATACAAAGGGAAGCCCATAACATTGAAATAATCACCATGGATACCTGTTACCAATGAGCCACCTTTTCCTTGGATACCGTATCTATAATATATTAAGGAATTGCCATGAAGATCAATCTTTCTTTGCAGATTGGGAGCATAGACTGTATGTTTGTATCAAAATAAAGCAAAATTCACAATTATTACTTATACAAAAGGATACGATCCTGCTTTGTCCCTGTGGGAAAAATTAAATAGGATAAAAAGTAAGAATGAAACGAAACTAAAATTCTTTTGTAAAAATTATGTAAATAGAGAATATGTGGGCACATGGCAATCTGCAATTTATTTTCAAGATAAATGTCATATTATCAAGCATCCAGTTATAATACGCCATTTTTCCAAAGGTATTTTTAAGAGCGTGCGCCCAGGCAGATACGAGTTATATGATAAATATGATTATTTTACATTGAACATGATTGCCCAGTCTATTAAGTTAGAGGGCCCTGACTAAAGGACTTGACTTACATTGGTTCTCCAGTTTCTATATATCCTTTTATGACATCTTCCGAGAGGTCACCAAAAGTAACCAAGGTTTCTTCATAAAACTGGGTTATTTTTGGGTCCGGTAATATTGAATTATCTACAAAACATGGCAAAGAATATGTGTCAAACTAAATTTTCATAACAGAAGTTTCATTTGAATGGCAAAATGGGAAGAGATGTAATCCCATTTGCACTAATCTCAGCAAATCAAGCTCTATTGAACCCTAAAACAACCTCTGGACTGATCAGTCAGGGCATGTTTAGTCACAGACTGAATCCTGAAACAACCTCTGAGCTGATCAAATCCAGGGCATGGCTAACTCACAGATTGAACCCTGAAACAACCCCTGGGCTGATCAAAGTTAGGCATGGCTAACTGAGTCACAACCAATTTCCTAAGACAAAATCTGGGCTGATTAAAGTCAGAGCATGGCTAACTAATTGGCTCATTATTGTAATTTATCTCCATGTGCTTTTGCAGAGGGAGGAAAACTGGAGAAGCTTGAGAAAAATCCTTRAATCAAGAGTAAGACCCAACAAACTATGGACATAATATTGTTGAGTCTAGGTTTTATGTAAACTAGCTGAAATTTTAGGGATGACATGCCAGTTCAACAATGCTAGACCATAAATTATCTTAGCTTGATTAACCGAATATCCCACAAAAATATTTTCTTTTCTTTTTTTTTTTTTTTTTTTTGCCCAAAAATAGATTGAAGGTAATTTTATATCCAATGGAAAGGGGGTAAGTACCCTAAGGACCCATTCTCTAAGCCCCTGTACTATATATCTTCAGATAATCCATACCTTTGGTTTGTGTGCTTGGCTGCACGAGTGCTACTCCACTATACACCTTGTGTTCACACCCACTTAGCCTGATAACAGTGAATTAACATTGATACTAACTTGTATAGTGGGACAAACCAAGGGAATAGGGTGGGGATTAGAAAAGGGGGGGCAGGCTGTGTTAAAAACCCCTTAGTATCCTCAGTTTGGGTAATGGTAATCAAGAGCACACACACTTTATTTTTTCCTGCAGTTTATCAAACTTTCTAAACTCTCATATACCTTCTAAGCATGGCAAATGCATCATCTTTACTTTTGGGTTTTTCAAGAATCTTATTTTCATGGACCTGAGAAAAAATGGTTGAATCAATATAAAGACACATCAACAAATCAGCACCTCCTTTCTCTACTTAGTACAATCAATTAGGCTTTACAAAGGCTTCATGACCAATAACGCAGTGTATATAATACATACCACAACTGTATCTGCTCCTATCACAATATCTGGCTTTTCTTTCTGAAACAAAAAAATGATTTTTTTTTAATTTGTTTTTGTCTACTTTTTGATTTAATCTAATCATGACAGTTTATTCTCATGATTCTCTTGGCTTCATACTTCAATAAAACTCACATGTTTTTCTTGTGCCATTCTTTCTACAACTTCCAGAGCCTTTAGTTTAGCATTCTCAAGTACATAATCCTTTGGATGACCAAACCGACTTTTGTCTAAGTTTTCTTCGAATTTCGAAGGCAAAACAATAAATCTTAATCCCTGTAAAATGACAAAAATAACGAGTGAATAAATAACGAGAGGTAAAAGAGAGAGAACTCAGGGCTTGAACCTGAAAAATAACGTTTATATTTTTACAACTCGAACCACGTGCATTGGTCGTCTTGAAAATAATATCATGGATCATAAAATGATAATATTTCTTCATTTACAATTTGCCTTAAAATTTCACTTCTTCTTGGCGATCCACTGGCTAATACGATACATTTGGAACCTAGATTGTCCATCAAAGGTTCAAGCATGGTGCTGTACTGTAAATTACTTAATTTAAAACTAGCTTAAAATAAAACAACACAGTCGTGTGCTAACTTTGATCACAAAACACGAATTTGCCAGGCGTTCCTGGCTATTAGTTACCAGACTCGTATTCCACAGGCAGTCCAATTTCCCTGAACGAGCGGGATCAAAATTACTCAGCTTACAGGGCTTTTCACTTTTTCTTTTCTTCTTATTTCTGTTTCTTTACTTTCTGTTTTTTGTTTTTTGTTGTCGTTGTTCTTTTTTTTTTTTTTTTTTTTTTGTTTTTTTTTTGTTTTTTTTTTTTTTTTTTTTTGTTTCCTTTTGTTTATATAAATCTTATCTTTCGTTTTTATAAACCTTATCTTTCTATATTTCTATTGCCGTTTTTTTTTCTTTTTTTTTCGTTCGTTTGTTCGTGCTGACTTCTTTTCTTTATGGCCATAATTTTCAGCCAACATGGCCGAAAGCTTGGCAATAAAATAATATTTAATCCTTACTCCATTGCATCCTTCGGACACCGCATTGCATTGGCCAATCACGCGTTTTTAAGCCGTGTCCAACCTGCGTACAAGAACACACTCATATTTCTCATCTCTTTCCTCTAACATATCTGCTCGTCATGGGCGTGGAAAAAGTTGCAAGCTGTTTCAACAAATGGCCCGCCATTCTTTCTTTCTCGTCTTCGTTCGTCAATAAATCTAGCTACTGAGTTTAATTACAACTTCGACACAGCAACTCATTATGATCGCTCTCTACTGAAGGCGCCACAGAACTCAACTTATTTTATTTGGTCACAATTTTGATTGACTTGAAGACAGCACGGATCAATGGATCCGCCACCAGATTATAAGGAAGTTGTGAAAACAAAATCCGTTCCTTCTGCTCCATCTTACGCTCGAGTTTTCCAACAGGCATCTCAACAAGAGAGCGCCTTGTTTGGTGAGCTAGAATGGAATGGAGTTTGTCAAGAAAAAAGGCAGCAAGATGAAAGGGAAACTCCAGATATTCCAAGTTCGGTTAGACGTAGTGAATCGGTAAGAATGACTCCAGTGGGACAAATGTTTGATACAGAAGTGAATATAAATGAAGACCTAGAAAATGGTGAGACAACAATAGGCAGCAAAAAAGCAAGGACATCGCAAAGGAAATCCMCAGATCTTAGTGTCAGATATTCAGAAAGACATAAAATGTTTTCAAACAGAGTTTCAGTCCATGGCCATTCCGAACGATTCCAAGATGAAGAAGAAGATTGTAACACAGTGGTTGGGAAACAATCTTCTTCAAGACAAGCTGTGTCAATATCAGAAAAAGCTTTTGTTAGAAATTCTAACCAAAATGAAACTCTTTTGAATCAAGCTCAAATGGGGAGGTATTTTTACAGAATATCGAGTAAAGAAGACCAGCAAAGATCGTCTTTTGATCAAGACTACGGCGAAGAAAACGCTCAGCCATTGGAGAGTCGAGTCGTAACAGTACAACCCAGTGTTTCTACAAGTTTTAAAGAACAAAATGTACAGTCTCAAAAAAAATCCCCACTTCAAAGCCTAAGTATCTCTCCTGGAAGTCCAAAAATTGCCAACCGCGAAAAACAAAGGAGAGAGAGTTATATTTTCAGCGAGACGAGAGACATAGGAGTTCAGGCAGAAGTAGGGAGGATTACTGCAAAGAGAACATATTGTTTTGTTAACATTTGCTTCTGTATGTCATGTAGATGTGCGCTTTGCTCGTCCTCGTACAATTGTACTTGGTTGCATTGTGTGCCTTGTCTGGCTTACAGTGTTTTGTGTTGTCCATTCTGGCTTGTTTGTCTGTTCTGTTCATTCATCAATCCTTGTTGGAAGGAAATATTGCTCGTAACATCGGGTGCTCTTAAGCATTTGGCCTTCAGTTGTAAAAGTGCGGCTGGAAATAACTGTTCGTTTACGTGTTTAGCAGATAACGCGGACGAAACTTTGTGGAATGCTAGAAGATGGGGGTGTGGATTCGAAGAGGCTGAGGAAATTTGATAATGTTCTAGTAATTTCAGTTGCAACGCAACGTTTATTCGAACTACACGTTTTCACGGCTATATTTAGTTGTGCTTATTTCATGGAACAGTGGCCCTGTTGAAAAAAACTTGGGTTTCGAAGACACCAACCAAGCCAAGTCAAGCACGGTTGAACGAGATTAGTAAAAGGGTTTAGAATTCCACTATTTAAATTGTTCTCGGTCCTTAAAAAAGATACATTAAGGGCGTAATGTTTTTACATAGACTACTGTCATTCGCTTGAGTATCATTTCTTTGTTTAACAGTTGCGCGKGAGAAGACGCATGAATGACACATCAATGACACATAAATAGAAATGATACTCTAGGGAATGACACGTGGTCTGAAACAAGAAAAATAATATGTCCAAGATGAAAAATTTCATAGCCTAAGTTAATGAGCCGCTACTTTGAAGATAGGTTACGTGCCATATCTACGTCTTGATATTTTTACTTACGTCCATTACTATCGCGCATGGTTACCAGGGGAAAACTCTACTAATATCCTCCTGTTGGCTACCTTATACTGCTTACCAAAAGAGCATACTGACATTTTTTGTGTATTACCACAATGAAGTAAATGCACTATATAGGTATTTTCATTTCAGCCCGAAGATATTTGAAACAATATGATAAGAATCAAAAGAGTAAAAAATCACATTTGAAAAGAATAGAAAAGAAGCTGCTTGAGTCCTGAATTATTAATTTGCTGATGATTTTATTCTCTCACAGTCATTTTCCTCCCACCCACATATCAATTAGAAACGTTTTGAACAAAGCATCATTTCTCAAACCCTAGTACTTAGTATGATACAATATATAATGACATCACGACACTGATAGATTAGAACGCCCATGCAATATGTCTACTTTACCAACTGAATGTGTCGAACCGATACGAAGATGATTGCCAGCCCAGTTCCTTTTTCTACCTAAAACTGAACTAGTAACCGAAATCCAGGATATTTCCGTCATTCATTGATCATGGCTGTTCACAACTTTGTAGAACGAAATTAAAAATATTATTTTAAAAGCTTGAACTATTTTTGTATTGTACAATCAATGAATGAACTAATACTCTTAAAAGAGTTATAAAACATTATAGTTTCGAATCCCGTGTTTCCGCAAAATGTTTTGAGAAAATTCCATGCATCAACGGCCCCGCCACTTATACATTTTTGTTCAAACATTAAATGCCATGCACTTTCACTGGCTTTCTAAATTTCCTATACCAGTGACCTAAGTGTACCAAATCCTCTTTTATCCGAAAATTTAAGTTCCAGTTTCCTTACTGATTTATAAATGAATAAGAAAACACTGTCGGCGGCATAAAAAATTTAATGTAAACACAAAGCAAAAAAAAAAAAAAAAAACATCAATAAGCTGCAAAGTAGTGCCCGGGGAAATCGAATGATAGAAATAATAATGTAATAGCGGTTAATGACAAGTTCGAGTGAAAACATAAGAGATAAATTAAAAATATATTAGAAAGAAAAGAACTTGAATATACGCACCGCTAGAAATCATAAAACTGTCATCACCTACTCATTCTATCCATGTTCAAATTCTTCGACAATCGACACTTTAAAGATCTGTAAAGACGCGTGGGAACATATCGCCCACATGCTTTGAAATGGCTTTCACAATCAACCAATCACAAAGCACGGAAACTGATGCTATCCAATCACATTGCTTGAAATCCAAAGCCATTAAAGTGCATAGTTTTGAGGCTGTGCTACTGAAGGKGAAAAAAGCTAACTTATGAATATTCAATAAAACTCAAACACCATTCCTTCAGTTTTTCATATAAATAAGGTAGTTACTTCCTGAAACCTTTAATCTCGTTCCAATCGAATTAACTCAAGAAATGATATATTACCAAAGCTACATTTATCAAATTTTTTTAATCTAGTTCATTGACAAAGTATACCATATGCTATTGAGCTTTCACTTTCTTTTTTTCTCAAGATTAATGGGTGCAGTAATGACGGACTGTAGATCAGAACACCGACACGAATTGCAATTATATATTTATAATATGTCCGGCATTTAATAAACTTTTTTTCAAGGATATAAATGTCCCTCTTATTGAAGCTCATTCTCCGAAAAAATCTATTTTTGATTATAATTTGAATGCTTGCGTGTAGCAAGCATTCTCAAAATGAGTTCAAATTAACTTGACGTATGAGAAGAACTCGTAAAAGATCTTGTCTTTTAGATCTATAAGCCTCAGGTCTAAACACTTCACACAAATATAAACTACCTATATTACATTTAGATACACAATAACCAATGCTCAACTCTACAGTCACTTCGTAACAATATACTGAAAAACAAGAATAATGGATTTCTTGTTGCTTTGACAATTTTGACGTTTCCAGGTTAAATAGCATTTGACTCCTAGAACAGCCGGAAGCTTTACAATTTTATCTCGATCTTTTTTCCCTACATTCACAAAACTTCAAAGACCCGAAATTACGCATAATATTTCACTAACTATAGCAAATACGATTCCTGCTGTTTCTAAGCTTTATAAAGTCAAACACTGGGGAATTGTTTTTCGGTTATCAGTCGGAAGTTCAGTTGCTTTCTCAACAAAATCAGCGAGAGATAAACTTCTGCATTAGTCACGGCTTCAAAACTCCTTAACTCCCAAATCCGTCTAGAACCTCTTCAAAAGTAATATTGAACGTTTAGGTTATATTTTTCAATAAATATTGGGTTATATTTTGAAATTTTTTAACTCGAACAGGATAGAAATTTGCTAATTAAAGACCGACTGATCTTTCTAATGACATACTAAGATGTTTAATAACTCCACATCTTTTTCATTCTCAATACTGACACGATAATCCCTTTTTGTGTAGATACGTTTATTGATTTCAAGCTTTCATTTACATTTACAATTCCAACTTGCTGCTTAATTTACTACATGGACTGACTAGTGCCGGGACAAAACTTTTTAAGCCGGGTTTATTACTGATTATCCTAGAATTAAATAACAATCCCTTAGATAAAATCCCCATCTTTCTTTGGGTACCACGCTAGTTAGAATAAATATTTTCTATTGTCTGTTGGAGTGTTATCCGTCTCGTTATCTTTGCAGAAAGAAGCTATGATTATGGACTGGACTATGTGATGTTGCCGGTTAAATGCCTTTAACATGATTACTCACTTTGAGGAGAATGTATAGTTAGATGTCATTGCTGAATATATGATATCAATCATTGTAAGTCGTCAGTATCGTTCTCATAGCAAAGATTCGAAAACTGCATTATAACACTACCGCTTAACGACTCAGAATCCGAACGGCGCCTCGACGCGAAAGAAATTCCAGTGATTCCATCCTGTTTTTTGGCCTTTCCTTCACTTTTTTCGTAAATCGTTTTGTTTGGGGAGAAAGTTCTAGTATATCCCAATGCAAAAAAGCTATGACAGTCACTTTTGGTTAAAGCTGGTTTTAGCTGAGTGTTTTTGACACCTTCTTGAGGAGGCGATTCATCTGAACCATTCCGTATGACGGATGTATTGAAGTGCATGGTCCTCCTATTCTCACCGGCTCTCTGCTCCTTCTGTCCCCGGAAACAGCGACAAGCCACGCGAAAACCTTCGCGGTAATTTCGATTAAACAGCGCGTAGAGAAAAGGGTTGATAGCTGAGTTTGCATGGCTCAAAAACAACGATGTGAAATAAAAAATATAGTTGTAATCAAAGCATGGAAACCTATGGAGAGCAAAAAAGCCAATAAATTGATATACATACAGAGGAAGCCAGCACGCTGCGAACAACACAACAACGGTAATCAGCATTTTTATTACTTTCTTGCGCGATGTTTGTGCTGGGTCAACATTGGTGACTTGTTCCCCGACTTGCTTTCTTCTCCAAAGTTTCCTCGCGATAATTGAGTATAACACAGCCATTGTGATTAAAGGAATTAAATAAAGAGTTACAAAGAGAATAACTGTGTAGTTCTTTGGCGCGTTGATGCGGTCAAAAGCGGGCGCCCAGTCTTCGTAACAAACTTCGTATCCAAGTTCGCCAGTTTGAACTCGCGTTGCATAAATCAAAGGCGCCATCACACCGAGTGCAACTACCCAAATAACTGCAAGTATGATTCTAGCAGCGTTAAATTCCATACGCGCGTGAAACGGGAAAATGATAGCCACAAAGCGATCTTTGGTGATGACCAATAGCGTGAGAACTGAACTGGCTACAGAGACGCTTTGTAAAAAAACTACCATCTTGCACACGGCTTCGCCAAAAATCCATTTATCAAAAAGATACACTTGGGTAATCATGTTCGGCATGCCAAGAAAGGTAATGAGAAGATCGCTTGCCGCCAGGCTGGAGATGAATAAGTTTGTAACACTTCGCATATGTTGGTTTTTGTAGACTGTGAGGATGACAATGGTATTTCCAATCAGCGACAGTGATATGATCAAAGCGTAAAGACCAGTTTTACCAATCTGTAGAGCAAGGCTCTGGCGATAAGCAGGACAGAAGATGACTGAATTGTTACTGATGTTCACCGTAACACCGGGAATATACATCTTGCTTTTGTAAGAAGAAAAGTCGTTCTGGTCTTCTGTTGCGAGTTTTTTTCTCTCTTGTGTTTTAGTACAATCTTCTAAGATATGAATTGTGGGAACGATTGTCTTACCATTCGTTGATTTAAAGTCAACAACAAAAACATTTCCCTTAAAAGCTGTTATCGGAATGACAAGATGTTTGATTGTCGCATTTGACTTGACTGAATTGTTAGTCCTAGAGGTTCTAGAAAGCCTATAAAATAAACAATAGACCTAGTTCCATTCGCACAATCCTTGGTTATTACAATAAAAGTCGGTGAATGTCAATTGAGTCATACTTTAATTACTGGCCAAAACTTCTTTTGTTTGATGTCCAACTCAAAGACAAATATGTACAAATAAAATGACGACAAGTTAAACGAACCAAAGCTTCGTCACTTTTTAAGTAAAATGATTATCATTTATGGCTGGTTTTGAAGACGTCAGCATGAAAAAAAAAACTATATAGAAAACATCTTAAGTGTGGTACTCTTAGATTTACTGTTTCTCTTATAGTTCACATCAGTCATCGTATATTGCTCTTTAAGCGGTCAACCGAATGAAGGACCCTTTGTTTAACGTAATTCTTTTTTGAAATTTAGATTACAACTATTATTTTAAACATCTCAAATCAGCAAAGTTAATCTTGATATACGATCAAACGACGGCTGCAGTAAGTGACGCGCCTTGCAATCTGCGCAGTTCGACAACTGTCACAGAGAATATATGTCAGTCCACCTCCGACTAAGACAAGAAAAATTAGCTCGATAATCGAGTTTTTAATACCATAAATCAATACAGCAACTAGAAATGCCTTCGTAGTCTGTTTTACGTTTAATTTAATTCTTTGATGTCGTGGACAGGGCAGAAAAACGGGTTCTACTTTCGACGTTTATGCGTTAATAAGCTTTATATTTCATAGACAGGCTCTTTTGGGGCTGATTAACAAAATACCAAAATTTGGGGAAATTTAAGGAATGCGTATTTGAGATATAACACCCTTAACGTTGGGAGAAATGATATTTTGATCAGCACAAAAACTAACATTTTCGCTAATACCTCGAAGTAGAATTGCTCAATTCAGCAGAATCTTGTGAAAAGTTTAAAGCACAAGAGACACGAATAAAACACTAAACGTTTTTTAGCATGAATGAGAGATAAAGAAAAAAATTGCGAACATAGTAGCCTTGTCGTTTTTCTACTCTGTCGGTTTCGTATGCTTTATTATTCTTATTTTGTGTATTTTTTCATCTTGTTAAGTGATTTTTGACTCCWTTTTTTAATTATCTGGATAATTTGGGCTCTCACTGCAAAATACTTTATAGGGAACCAGCTCGACTCATAAACAAACTTTAAAATCCAAGCTGTGGAATTAGTCGGTAAAAGCGCTCAACCGCAGGTGTTCGGAGGAATTTAAAAACGTAAAAATAAATAAATAAAACTCGTACTGAGTTCTGAGTGATACTGGTCTTTGCGTTTGGATTTTATCTTTCAAAGAACAAACGTACTGAAAAACATGTCAAATACTTCTTGGTACAGTGCTAGAACGATGAAGTCGTACAATGGTAATGATTTATAACCATATCTTTTAAAGTTACGTTTTTGTAGTTATTATTTTGGTCTTTCAAAAAAAGGTTTGTGTGGCGAGACAATTTGCACGTTAAGAGCCTTTTTAAGCTCTTCTAAAGGCAATTTACGCAATTTCTTTTGAACCTTTATTGTTTGGGAAAATGGACCGCTATGAGTAATAGAGCTAACTCTTATGACTGCCAGCAAGTTATGGAAATTTGATCGCTACATAGAACCGAATAACTGAAGATTTTATGACGTTTTTTATTTTCGTCATTTTCATTTCATTATTTCTTTTGGACAAACCCTATTTTAGCTTGAACGCTTGAACAAGAACCTGGAAGCGACACGAAATGAAAAAATAATAATCTCCGAAAATAAAATAAATATAGAAATCTAACGAGTCTAAAATAGTTTTTTTTAACATGTTGACAAATGTTTATGTTCTTTTCCCCTTGCAATTTCATTGGAAAAGTTGAAGCAGGAAGGGTTACAACAGAATTCACCTTTTCGGCGCTAGCCGTCACGAGATATAAATTGCTTTAGATTGTGTTACGGTCACCAAAAAGTTCGGACATTGTTCTCGAATTGCCGTACAAATGTACTGACTCTAAATGAACTATTTACTTAGTTATGTTTAGTTATTTCTCTGAATACAAGTAAATAATCCTTTTTCTAGCTTGATTGAAGCTTTTCTTATTGCTGTTAAGATAGCAAACTAAAGAATTCTACCTAAATTTTCTCTTTAAAGTCAGTGAAATTGGAATCCAAGAACGATGTCCGAACTTTTTGGTGACCGTATTAAACACAATTCAAGCTAGCGCGGAAAAGGTGAATAGGGTGAAGAAAAAAGACTGCCCCACCTCTCCCTCGACACAGGGAACCCAAAAGATAAGTGACGTGCGCATGATTAAACATAAATCACCGCATCTGCATTGTTTTGATTTTCAATTTTTGCGGGAATTTTTGGAATATTTTCTTTGGGACTTCAAACACACAAGGCCTCATTATATTGGACTCGAACACGCGGTCTATTCGCGATGGAAGACTTCGATCTCGCAGATCTTGAAAATGACTTCATGTACGAAGATTTGAGCCCAGATTTATACGAATATTACCAGCAAGAGGACTTATCTTCACGGCGATTTGGCTTCATGCATACTTTTAACCAGTGCTTTTGGCCGACAACGACCCAAACAGGAGAAATCGTAGGTCCCTTGTTAGGTCTTTGCCTTGTTGTGAGGGTTATATCGATCTTACCTGTGCCAAGATGGACTGTACACTTGGTTTCCTTGGTAACTGGATGTATAACAATGTACGTATTTGTGAACCAGTATGTATGGTATCCAATTATCATGTGCCTGGTTGGGTACCCTTTGGTTTTTGTGCCTAAAGGATATAGAGGACCACTTATGGCTGCTTTGTGTCTTGCTTATATACTGACATGGTAAGTACACTGTAGGGACTATATTGGCCTGGTTATTGCTATTCCAAGTTCTTAAAACAATGTGTCGAAGGGATATATTTCTAATATAGCATATATTACTTCCCCTAAAATAGTCCCAAAATGCACTGCACAAACCAAGGGTCCTTTTTACATACTAACAAGGTGAATAGACCATAGCAACTATATTTGATACAAAAATATAATACCTATTGATTATGTACATAGTGGTATATCAATAACTGCAAACCCCCACTATATTTCCCTATTATGGGTCCTTTATATATTAGCCATTCCGGGGATAAGGAAAAAAACTGGGCCGGGTTTGATCTTGCAGTTTGTGGCAAGATTCTTGTCAGGTTCTTCTCATGTTCATGCAATCACTATCCTGGCACACAGTCAACCTTGGTATTTATCTAGTTTCACTTAATGCTTATATCTTTAGTGAAAATTATGCCTGATGGTGTTGAAACATCAAGAAAATTGTAGTAAACTTGTTGTCATAAATTTTATGATGGAAATTATGTGGTTCATTATATTTATTTTTCAGTGAAATATTCATTGCTTCTCCTGACTCATGGCATAAAGTGAGAGGTTGGTACAAAAAAAGATTTTGATTACCATAATAAGTAAATGAAATGCAAAGCCAAATTGTCTATTTCCAGAAATTATCCCCCCCCCCCCCTGGAGAATTTTTTAAAGAGCCCCCTACCCCCAGAAATTCCAGTTTTCTTTTACATACAAACTCTGTCATTTTGTTCTTACTCTGATCCCCACACCTCAGAAATTCCAAATTCCTCTGAGTATGGATAATTTCTGGAGCTATACATTATAACATACCCACAATATAATCAGCTCATCTACACCTCACAATATAATCAGCTCARCTCAGTTACACCTACTACAACTCTTACAATTCTTTTTGGCTTAAGGCACCTCCCATGTGCATTCAGTACTGGATACACACACATTGAACATTGACTATTCACCATCCTTAAAGAAAACAATATATGAGCTGGAACCATGGATTTGGGATGGGAAAGCTCACTCTCACAGTTTCGCTCTTCCAAAGCTAGTTTTAACTGGTTTGTCCAATAAGATTCAACTTTTTTCATATTCAAGGTTCTCAAATGATTCTAGCAATGAAAATAATCAGCATTGCCTTTGATAGTGATCAAGGTTTGTTATCCAAGACGCCCAATCCACTGGAATATTTTGGGTATGCATTAAGTGCAAATGCAGTGATCTTTGGACCATTTATGAGCTATGAAAACTATTCTCAGATTCTAGCTGGAAAAAGACTGGTAAGATGTCTACACAAATATTATCTTAGTTAATAAAGGGGTGTAATGATATTGTCTGTAATTTTAAGCTTTAAAACTGGAACATGTTTGTGCATCCCCAATATTATAACTCATTTCTGCATTGAATTGTTGTCTGTTGCTTTGATACAAACAACAACTTATAAGACAAGACAAACAAAATATGTTTTTACCCAAGCTAGACCACAATGCACCATGTTTCAGAAAAGACCTATGAAAAGAGATCTTGGTCTTATGAGGGGTATTTTCTAGTTACCCAGAGGGTTACCTGAAGCAAAACCATTGAGGAACACAGGTAACTCACATCTGTCTACAATTTTTTTTCACAGAGCTTTTCATGGTTTTTTGGAGTTTTGAGAAGTTTTGTGTTGTGCTATGTTTGTTTGATCTATTCAGTTTGCATTTCTCCATACATATTTGCTCAGAATGACCACAAGTAAGTATAGTTCCTACTATTATCCTTCACAAGGCATCCACCTTCAATCATATGCATTGGGAGATCTTGAAAATGGGGAAAAGCCATCTTTATAAAAAAACATTCTGGTAAAAATCGTCTGATAAATTATCTATTTTTTAAACTCCTTTTCTCTGTCTATGCCTTTATGGAATTGAAAAATTTAAAGATGCAATCTGGTCCCCTACCTATACCTAGTGTTGCAGTAAGATATCTTTAAATAATGGGTTCATAGTTATCAGTAGGAGAGGGAAGAAAAGAGTATAATAGCATAGCATGCTGATATTTTTTTTGCGGTTTTCAGGTGGCTGGTAGCCTATCAGACAGCCATGTCATTCAGATTCAGCCATTATTTTGTCAGCTACATGTCAGAATGCACTAGTGTTGTAAGTGGTGTTGGTACAGAGGTGACACAAGATGAGAAGAAAGTCACTAAATGGTATTATTTCTCAATTGACACGGTTTTCTTTGTTATTCACAAGGCTTTATTTTTGTTATAACCCTCATTATAAATGTGAGGTCAATATATAGTTATTAACCCGGTTAGTAACTATATATAGACCGTTCGCATTTATAATGAGCAACATTTGATAGAAAACCTCAATTGATAAATAAAATACTTAATTACCTTGAAYGTCGGCAATAAGCCTATACATACCTCGGGCCTGTGGCCCTCAGGATGTATATGGCTTATTGCCTCCGTTCTCGGTAATTAACTCTTACAAATAAAAGTTAGAACCAGAAAAACTCAAACTCCTTTACTCAGATATTTTCATGTGTGTAATGGTCTTTTTTTTCTTCCTCCCTTCCTTCCTTGTTTTCTTCCTTCCTTCCTTCCTTCCTTGTTTTCTTGCTTCTCTCCTTCCTTCCTTCCTTCCTTCCTTTTCTTCCCTTCCTTCCCTCCATTTTTCCCCTCCACTTCTTTCTTCCTCTTATCCTTCCTACCAACCTTCTTTCCTTTAGTCCTCCCTCCCTTCCCCTTCCCTTCCTCCTTTCCATCCTTCCTTCCCCCCATTCCTCCCTTCCCCCCATTCCTCCCTTTGATTCTCCCCTTTAATCCTTCCCTCCACTTTTCCCCTCCATTCCTTCCTTCTTTTCTTTCTTTCTCCTTTCCTTCCTTCCTTCTCTCTTTTTCTTTCCTTCTTCTATGTTTGGCAAGTCTATCATTTCTAATATCTTCATTAAAGGCAATTTGATGTAGCCAGACCACAGCATGTTGAGCTCCCACGATCTCTTGTTGAAGTTGTCATTCACTGGAATGTTCCCAACCATGTCTTTCTCAAGAACTGTAAGTTCTAGTCAAGTGGACCTTTTCTAGGACAGCAATGTTGGCTGGAGCAATATTTTTTTWAAATATCAATCAATCAATCAATCAATAATTATTTATTCCTCGCTTTTCTTGGATCAACATAGTACCACGTAAAGGAGGTTTATTAACTACCACTCCCCAACCCACCTAATTAGTGCATTTTTCTCCCTTCACTCCCCAAAATCCCAAATCAGAGCTGAACTACTACTTCTGGCCCAGAAATTAGCGCACTAGCTGTTTCTCACTATTTTGATATTACTAACGGCTTTGACACTGTTTGTTTAATTTTTCAGATGTGTTCAAGAAAGCCAGGTCACTTGGTAGATTCGTTGCTATTTTATTAACCTTTGGCTGTAGTTCTTTACTGCACGTGAGTATGGTGCCTATGATTTAGAGCCGTTTTTGTATGACTGTGAAAAGCTCGGTACCGTTAGAGTGCCTTGCCGTGACTGAAATCTTTTCTAGAATTTTTAAAGGCTGATTTTTTCCTCGCTAAAATTTGATTGCACTAGCAATGCCGTACTTTGGCGTATGTGTCCGCGCAGTGTCGGTACCATGTTTCGGGCATTTGATCTAATGGAGAAAAATTCTCGAGCAATGCGATTGGTCTGGCGTATCCCTTGCCGTGTCACGACCCTACGACCGTGTTCGTGCCGTGAGCTTTTCACAGTCAAGTTATACGAAACTTCTCTTTGGCCGACTAACTCTACACTCACAGGTGCTGCGTATGAACCGAAAAACCGCACGACACATTGTACCGGCGTCATCCTTTGAGCCAATCAAACTGCGCGAGATTGCGGTCACGCGGTCATAGCCACACAAGAGCAGTTGCTCTAAGGTCACAAGAGGCGAACGTACCGCTAGGCGACCCTCGTGCGTCATGTTTGAACTTTTTTTTGCTCGTAAGAAACCATCTGTAGTTATTTTTGGCATCTCGTTATTTTCAGGGTCTGAATTTCCAACTAACTGCCGTGTTGCTGTCTATAGGGATGTATGCATATATAGAACATGGTGAGTTAGTTGCTATAGACTTCTAGATTGCGTGTAATGTTTTTTTATTTTCATTTCAGACCACTTGTCATTCTCTTGAGAATAAGATTATTTATTTGAATTGCATCCATCTTCCTGTGTCTTATCATGCGCAACTGTTAAACAAAGAAGTAATACTCTAGGGAATGACACGTGGTCTGAAATGGGAAAAAATAGGCCCAAGATAAAGAGGTATATCGCACATCTCTTGGGTTCTTGAATTTTTGCACCTTTGAAAATCCCGACCAGTTCCGACTCCCCACCCTAACACGAACCTCTGTCATCCACGGGAACCCTTCCTCGTTAAGATTCGAGGAATCCACGGGCTCCACCATCTACCAAAGCTCTAAAGCAAAACATTTTTAAGGTATCAATGACATTTCCTTTATTTAGTATGATTCTCGATTTTTCCCTCCAGTTTTTCGTAGTAAATTAGCGTCGCTTTTCAGCGCTTGTATCATGGCTCGAAAATGCCGACCAGACTGTGGACACTTCCACAAGGAGGTAAGCTAGTAACGAAGGATAGTGATCAATCAGAGCTGTGTTCCCCTGATTATGAGCTGATCAAAATCGGTGCACGGATCGAATTGGGACTCGTTTGGTTAGGTTTTGCGAAGTGAGGAAATCCAGATAAATCTGGAGAACCTGGAGAAAAAAACCTCGACTTGAGGCCTAACAAACTCTATTCTATTTCTCTTTCTCATTCGATACATACCGCTGTTTTTAATTACCAAGGACTCATTTATCAGGTTAGGGAACCGGTAGAGAATCGTAAAAGAACCAGTCAGTATTTGGAAAAGAAAAAAAAAAAGAAACATGAAACATGTTTGCTCGCCTACAATGGGAATCAGAGGTGGCGTAGTAGTAGTGCATTGTTCTGTCATCTCTGGGATCACGGTACGATTCCTGGACTTGGCATTACACGTGGGTAGAATTCGTTGGGTCTTTCTCTTGATTCGAGGGTTTTTATCCGGGTTCTAAGGTTTTCCTAACACGCTGAATTCCAATTAGATCTGTGAGCCTGTTAACCGTGCTTTGACTTTGAGGCTAGTATGTTCAAGTTCTCGCCTTAGCATTGTTTTAGAAGGCGCTCATGTACGATCAGTATTCTGTTCAGTCGATTTATAAGTGTGTGCGAGAGAAAATGAATTTTGTCTTTGTCAGGTGCGCCAACCTGAGATGAAAGAGCATTAAAAAAGTTGAACTGTTTGGTATTTATATGTACTCCATTGTTTATTTTTATAGGGTCAGTTCTGGGTTCTAGCGACCAATCTGTCGTTCGGTTTTCTCTCGGTGTTTCATTTGGCGTATCTTGGCATCATGTTCGGTGGTGATGCATCTGAACAAACACAGGTTTGTTGTTTGTTTGTTTTCATAATAGTGCGCCTAAGCAAGAAAAAAAAATAGGGAGAGAAATATAAAGGAAGAAGAAAGAAAAAGAGAAAGGAAGGAAGAAAGAGAGGAAGGAAGGAAGGAAGGATGAAAGAAAGGCAGAAACAAACCAACAAACACACAAACAAACGAATGAACGAACAAACCAACTATGGATGGATGGATGGATTGAGGGAGGGAGTAATGGATGGGTGGAGGGAGGGACAGAGAGGGAAGGAGGGAAGGAGGGAGCGATGGATAGATTGGTTGGATGGAAGAAGGGAGGGAGGGAAAGAAAGATGAATAAGTATGTATTTTATCTGATTAAAGATTGATTTTCGGGTTTTCACTAGGTTTGCTTTGTTAATGAGGTCATTTTTTATTTCAGGGCTCCAGCATGAGTTTCACGTTAAAGAAGTGGACTGAACTCGACTTTGCTAGTCACTGGGTCGCTATGGCAACGTTACTCCTATCAATAATCATTCCTAAGACTAATGCATGAAATATTTACAAGGTATATGATTATATTACGATGGATGCATCGATCAAAAATGCGTATGATCGAGAGAGAAAATGAACTAGTTCGTTTTCCCTTTGTACGATCCATTCCCGAACCCATGGCTTTAAAAAACCTTTAAATTTTATCGAAACCTTGAAACAACCTCAGAGCTGTACTAAGTCACGGCACGGCTTATTAACAGATCGAATTGGAATTTAGTGTTAGGTTCTGTGGAGGTAGGAAAAACTCTGCGGAGAAAAACCTTGAATGAAGAGAGAGACCATACAAACTCTTCTTACATGTGATGTCATCCCCTCGATTAACTATGCAGGAATTGAACTCGAGACTCCAGAGGCGAGCCACTTCAGCTATGTAATCCTTGAGTCTTCTCTTCCTTATCTTTCTCTTCCTCTTAAATGAAATTTCCTCTGCAGATTTATAAATAGTAGATTTTATTTCAATAAAAAACATTTGTAGTAAACAGGAAGCCCAGTCTTCTGTATCTTCTATATCTTATAGCTGTTACTGACGAAGCAACTAGTGAATGTCAGAACGTTCATAATCCTTGAAAATTTGCTGAATTCTCGTTTGATCTGTTTTCTTACGCTGTTAGCGATTTCAGTTGATTAGAACAGCGCTCATAAAACTGAATAAAAACTTTTTCCACGCAGGAAATCGAAGCTGAAATATTTATACTCATAATAAACTCTACAAAATTACAATTAAATCCCAAATTGTACTCTGTAGAGTCCCAATTAATTTGCTCAATTTTTTGAGTGTATTATAAACAAAAAATCGCACAATCTTATCGTACAATTCTGATTTTATAGATACTCGTGATGTTTTGAAAGTTCTCAAATTGGACTTACCTAAAGGCCCGTCCAATTTTGAAAACTTTCAAAACATCACTCGTACCTATAAATACCGAGTTGTAGTCGATTTCCTAGACAAATAAAGTAATAACGCCATTCGTGCTAATAGTTCATTAAAATTATTTTGTCATATTGCCAAWTAATAAAAATACTTTTAGTCCAAACAAATAAAAACTCAAAACTCTGAAACTCTGTTTTTGCAACACGGAATTAATATTTTTAATTAATATTTACTTGTCAAATTGTTTCAGGATTATCGTTTCATTTTGGCTTTCTTTGATTATCGTTTATTTACTAAATTGATTTTATTGTGACATTGGCGGATAATGTTAGTTATTATCATAATTTAATTCAATTTTTGATATCATTATCCATTCTTAGTTCACGAGGTTTTGTGTGGAAGCCACTTCGAAGCCATGTTGGTTTATTGTTCCTGTGCGCGTTTATAGTACCCGTAAGTCAATTGTCTTCAGTTTTGATTTGTTTTCTTTAAGATTTTGTAAGCCAATCAGATTCGTTCTCCAATTACATYAAGCATATGATTATCTCAAATAAACAATGAAAAATGCATGAAACAAAGAACCCATGCAAGTAGCGTCGTGATATTTTTGGTCTTTTCGTCTTGACTTCAAATTTAAACCAAACGAACTCAGAAGCCTGGTTAAGTCAGTTCAAGCAAGATGTCGACCGATCAAGTGTCTGTCGAAATCCGAGGAAGCCAGAAAGAAATTAATCAAGGACATCAACTGAATCTGGGAGATAGGGACCCGACTCAAATGAATGACCACGTGAGGGTAAGAAAGATATCCGACTTTTATGTTACACATAAGGGCAATTTAAGTGCCTTATGTATAGGGGCTCTTGAATATGTCCATATACTTGAATATCTCTTTATACTTGTCAAATTGTGCTTCAAAAGATATATGAACATCTCGATCAAACGCCTATGATTACGATTCTGATTCCAAAGAATTGTTATGCTGTAAAGAGGAGAAATCTATCATTCTAGACAAGTTTTTTTGTCTTGAGGTGAGACGATTCACTTTAATTCTAAACTTTGATCCTCTTTTAAGAAGTTGACCAACAACTCTCTTTCATTGTACTTATAGTAAGAAGCAAAAGTCTGACAGACTAGTTTTGGGAACGCTTTGATCATAGGAACTGAGGCCGGAACGGAACTATAAGTGAGTTGGAGCGTTGTGTGCATAGAATATTAAATGAAGTGGTAGTGCGTGTGAGCGAAAAGTGTCCCCAATTAGTGCGAAAGCGCTAGAACGACTAGACACTTAAATATTAAAGTGATTTATTTTTTTATTTTATTTTTATGTGTCTATTCGCGATCAGGCAAATTTCTCCATGCAGAACTCCCCCCCCCCCCCCCCCCCCCCCCCCGGTCCGTCGTCCATGTTTCTTTGTAATTCCATTAATAAGTTTTTTTCCCACCAGTAGACGTGGGGTAAGTTTCCTATTGTGCTCGATAAGATAATACGATTCAGTCATTCAGTTATTTTTTGCGCTTCTCTTTTTCATTTCCTGCACGGATAGTTATAATTAGACTCTTAGACAGCGTATGAACAAATTGTTATCAGCAATCAATGATGTTTCAGAGCAAGTTCTTTTTGACATTGCCAAAAATCGCGGGACGTTAAGTTTATAATACACTGATCAGTAKACTTTTTTTAAAGCCATTCGACGGTCCGCGCATCACACTTGCTCTGCGCTTAGCTTATGTACCTCCAGCGGGCTAGCACGTGTGTCTTGGTTCAATCATACATGCCTTGTGGGCTTAATACGCATGATACGTACGGTCACATTTCGATCGCTGATGGTGATGGTGATGGTGATGGTGATGGTGATGGTGATGGTGATGGTGATGGTGATGACGATGATGCTGATGCTGATGATGCTAATGCTGATCATAATGATGATGATGGTGATGATGCTGATGATGCTGATGATGATGCTGATGGTGGTGATGCCGATGATGCTAATGCTGATGATGATGATGCTGATGATGATGACGATGACGATCATGCTCCTGATGATGATGAGGATGTCTATGTTGTTCGGCCGCTGTTCTTAGTGACGGTAGAAATTATTGGTGTCTTATGAGATCGTCTCATGAAGTACTATTGTAAAACTATTCTTCCTATAGGTATTTTATCAAGACGTTTTCGCCGAACCAGAAGGCACGCACAGCATCGATRGAGTGTGGAAAACATCCTTCTCGACCTTTGTAGCCACTAAGTACTGGTGTTACCGCATCCTGACGGCCATCTTTGGTGTCCCTACAGCCATTCTCTGTGGRTGTTATTTTGCGTGTCTTAGTTTTGACTACATCTGGTGYATCATGCCCTGCCTAAGAGGATACCTCATTGAGCTCCAGTGCTTTGGTAAAGTCTGGGGACTTTGTATTAGGACATTCTGCGACCCTTTCTTTGAGTCTATATCCAAAGTGCTTTCTAATATTCGTATCAGTAAAGGATAACCATGTCCGACACAGGAATCCCRTACTAAAGGAAAAGAAACTGGCATTAAGAGTAGCTGTGGAATATCAGAACTTAGAACCGCATGCATATTTCATGATTTATTATTATTACTAGTTATYATTTATCATTTATTAATCATATCTAGAAGTAAATTCGTAAATCTACATGCTAATGAGTTAATGTTATTATTGTARTGAGGTGTGCATGATTTGGAGCGGATTAAAGTATGTTAAAGGCGCGATTACACGAAGCAATTATTTTCACTGCAACTTGTCTCGCAACGGCGTTGGTGCAACTGAGATGCAATCGTTGYCAAAAGTAGAAACGAATAGTCCCTTTCACAGTTCCCTGCGCCATCTTGAAAGGCAGTCGAGCCTTTGCATCGAAGAGAGACGAACGATGAGCTTGCAATGATAGAGACCTTTTTTAAACAGCTTTTAAAAGTTATTCACAGGTCCCTAGCTATCATTGCAAGGCACGGYTACCTTTCAAGATGGCGCAGGGAGCTGTAAAGGGGACTATTCTACTTTTGGCAACGATTGCAGTAACTTGTCTCTCAACATTTTTCAAATTGCGCTGTAGGTCACACGCTGCAATGCTCCATGCAACTTCTGTCGCAACTACGTTGAGAGACAAATTGCAGAGAAAATTGTTCCGTGTAATCGCGCCTTAGATAGCAATACTGTGAAAAGGGGTATTTAACATTTACCCGAAAAACTATAGAAATTCTGATTGGAAAAACGAACGGTATGTATCATTACAATCGGAAAGTTCTGGAAAAGTCGTTCTTCCGATTGTTTTCCGCYCTTTTYGGTTCTTTCAGTAGACGCATGTATCATTTTCCGGAAGACAAAGTCCCCCCCCACCGAACAAATTTTCGACCGGCGGCAAAATGGTAGGGAGGGTTACGTTATTTTAAGAATTTGGTTAGGGATGGGGGGATGTTTGTAAAGATTTCCATGTGTTTTTGCCGACCCCCTTGCGCTAATAAATGAAACCCCCCTAAATGGTAAGCACTGTACCAACTAGTTTAGAACTTGCCAAAACAATCAAAACTAGGAAATGAATAAAAAACTGACATGCCTCATTGTTCTTGCAAAAACTAATGGAAAACCGGCACAATTGCATGATAAACGTAMATATAGCCTCCTTTGCAGATGACTGCCACAAAGAACGTCTGCAAAGAGGCGCGCTAATATAAATGCATTAGGAAATAGTCCAGTCAAGAGAAAATGAACATATTCATATTCTCTTGGCCCAGTTTCGAATTCTCTTTTGTTCAGTCTCGGTTGTACGTTATTCAGCTATTCAACCAAAATCCGTGGCATTTTAATCAACTCGAATTGTTCCGTAGTACGTATATTCCTTACTCTACAATGGACCTTAATAAAAGAAAAGAACACATTTGTACACAATTGAGGCTGAGACTGAGAAGACTGAAGACTGAGCAAAGGCGAACTCGAAATGGGAGTATTAAAGCGAAGCAGAAAGAAACTATATTCGTTTCACAGGGAATACTTTTATCTCTTTAAATAAATAAAAAACTTGTAAACAAAGCCCAGATTAAATATTTTAATTGTTCATATGAAAAAAGAATGTACTAATTTAAATAAATTAATTTTTCGCTTTCTCCGATCGGTGGATAAAAGTGATTTCATTGAAAGCGACGAAAAAGCATGAAAAGCAAAGATTGATTYCTATTGGAWGMGAGCTCTTCATTGACAGTTTATTCCACGTGCAAATAAAATATTAACCAATAAAACAGAGGGCGTTTCGATGATAAGATTCTATTGGACTAGACTTTTTGAATGACAGCTTAAAAAGCGCGAAAAATAGACTGATGCTATTGGTAAAAACGTGTCGCATTATCACGAGCAATAACAATAGCCAATCACGTCGCATTTCTTTCGAACGTAGTCTAATCTTATTGGCTGGTATTGTTTGATTGACGGTTGATTCATGAGGAATGCAGCATTAGGTTTCTGGTTTGTGGGGCTTGACTTCATAATCAAGTTGACGTGTAGAAAGTCAGGTATGTACCACTCTGTTCCTGCAAAAATTACCTTAAAGTTAACCATTTTTCTTAACTTTTCCACTTTTGGCAATTSAAATGTGTAGTTTTACACAGGACCTTCCTAGCCACAAGATRTAAACGCTATTTTTCTTGCTTTTTTTGACGTAAAACACTTTTTATCATCCCGAAAAGAYACGAGTTACCAACAGCTGATAATTACGTGACTGTACTGTGCAGCGGGAAATACAAATTATTTGGAAACATTTTTTACTATTGAACAAAAATATTTGCCGAGTTGAACAGTTCTGTGTTGTTTTTTAATGTCTTCAGCAGAAGTTTTACAATTTTGCTTCAAGAAGAAAAATTYCATTCACGGTGTCGACTGAACGCACTGTGCTCAGCTGATAATTACTGGGAAGCGGGAAATACAAATTATTCGGAAACTTTCTTTACTTTTGAACCAAAATACTTGCCGAGTTGAACATTTCCCTGTTGTTCCTTAATGTTTTCAACAGAATTTTCATAAATTTTGAGAACATTTTCATGCAGTGCAAAGCGACCACGAGTCCAAAAGACAACAACTTCTCTTGCTTTTTACAACTTTCTTCAATATTGTTATAAGTTATATCATTTTATTGTGCATATAGTCTTATTTAGATATTGTAACTTTAGAAGATTATTTTATCTGAGTTTTGATGCGTTTTTTTTTTCCTCATTAGACGTAAAATGTTTCGATTTGGTTTCGCGCGCTTTTCAATACTCTGCAACTTGGATTCGTTTGAATAGTTGGCCTTTATTGTTCTGTCGATGAAAAATCATTCATTTTGAGTTACTGGGCTTATAATTTTCCACTTTTCTTTGAAATTTCGTAAGCATTTTCCAAATTTTAAACAAATTTCTGACGTTTTCATTTTGGCGCGCTTTCATCTTCCTTGACGAAAGTCGTCGATGAAATTTTTAAGACTTTTCAATTCTTGTTTGTCAATATTCTTTTTCACCGTTATGAAAAGAAAAGTGTTTTTCACCAAATACTGACATTTTTTACATTTTTCAGGTTATTATTCATTATTGGAAGTGGTTATATAAAGTACTAGAAGCAAGAAGAAGACTACTGCGTATCGTAAGACTGAGTTGATGGTKGAAGATCCTGAACAAGTTGAAAGAAAATTTAATTTAAATTTAATCATTTTTGGTTTGGCTGACTCCGAACTTGTTCTTTGTCTTCCTATTGTTGCATTGCAGTTAGATGGAAAGARGTGCGGGAGAAGCAGTTCCTAAATCAAAAAGGAACTTGTTCTATACTGAACTCACTAGGTTAGGTCTTTGTCTTGCAGACATTTGCGAAAAATTAATATTTCCGTTCTTGAACGCTTACGTGAAATTGGATTCTTATGCTGCAAGTCAAAATATACTGCAATGTTTTTTGTGATTCGATCTAGAAAGTTCTTAGGTTAGCAGTAAGAGGGATCCAGATGAACAGCTGGTCCCAATAATTATTCGTTTGACAAGAAGCTACCACTATCTTAAAACTAGGAGGGTTATGGCGGATTCTTAGTGTTTTTGACTGGTCGTCTCGACCAGGGTCAATTGGCCAGTATTAGGTTAGCTTTTCTAATGAACTTTAGTCACCAATTTGGCAACGCTGCACGTCGATGAAGACACAGGATCTACATATGTAAGGTGTGAACTTTAGTTTACTGGAGTTCAGGCTTACTTGAGTAACGCTGGCCAGTACCTGATCACTCACTCCCCTCACACAGCGCCTAAGGTTAGATGCCTTCTATTCTTAGCTTAGACTGGCCAGTTGCGTGCTCTCGTAAGACTAGGTACAGTCMGGATCACTCGGCTTAATGTCCTCGCCTCGCCCCTCCCCCTCGGTGGATGGTTGTGATGAAATCCTGACTTGTTGCTCCAGTGTAGTGATTGCTTTCCAGTCGTGGTTCAAGTTTACCAAGAACAGCCAAACTCGGCTGCCTCCGAGAGGGAAGACAAGTCTGCAATAAATTTCTGTTTCATCATGCAMCGGGCATGCCAGTGGTAGCTTCTTTATAGGATAGGATTTTGTATGAAATATACAAAGTTTTATGATTAATGTATATTCATTATTTTTTGTRTAGTTCTTGTTACTTCTACAGATTATGTTACTAGTTAATTAATTAGTCTTAATGCTAGGTTGTAGATTTCTTTCTTTCGACCATGTTTTTACTTCGATAGCATGCGGTGGTAGTTCATCATACTCTTTAATTACTCTTGCTCTTAGATCATTTCGATATTTCTATCGTTCGAATATAACCGTTAATTTTCGACGAYATATTTAAAGTTCGGTTTTGTAGATTTTGTCTTAGCTTTTTATTCTATCACATAGGTCAATTACGATAGAAATATATTCGATGCTTTGAGTCTTGGATATTCCAGCTCTCTCTGAAGTATTCCTTACTTCCTTGAGAATCCTGGAATATCCTTCCTTTTCTAAGTTTACTCTTATTCGGTAGCATGATGTAATGATAGATTCGAGGGTTTGGGTYCTGGATATTCCAGATCTCTCTGAAGTATTCCTTACTTCCTTGAGAATCCTGGAATATTCTCCCTTTTCATGATTGCACACACACAACAATCATATACTTTTTTGAAGATGGGCGGGGCCCTAGATAGTTCTTTCTTCAGCTAGGAATATCCCTCCCTTCTACACAAACGCCTCAAGCTTTTTGGTTTTTCAACAAACGCCTAAAGCTTTTCGGTTTTTCAACAAACACCTCAAGTTTTTTGGTTTTTCAACGAAAGCTTGGCAAGCTTTTTGATTTTTCAACAAACGCCTCAAGCTTTTTGTTTTTTTCGACAAACGCCTCAAGCTTTTTGGTTCAACGAACACTTCTGAGTTTTTTGGTTTGCTATGAACGTCTCAAACTTTTTTGGTTTTTCAACAAACGTCTCGAGCTTTTTGGTTTTTTCAACAAACGCCTCAAGCTTTTTGGTTTTTCAACAAACGTCTCGAGCTTTTTGGTTTTCCAACGAACGTCTCAAGCTTTTTGGTTTTTCAACAAACGCCTCAAGCTTTTTGGTTTTTCAACAAACGCCTCGAGCTTTTTGGTTTTTCAACAAACGCCTCGAGCTTTTTGGTTTTTCAACAAACGCCTCGAGCTTTTTGGTTTTTCAACGAACGCCTCAAGCTTTTTGGTTTTTCAACAAACGTCTCAAGCTTTTTGGTTTTTTAASGAACGCCTSAAGCTTTTTGGTTTTCAACAAATGCCTGAAGCTTTTTTGGTTGAATGAACATCTCGAGCTTTTTGGTTCAACGAAGACCAAGTTTTTTGGTTCAACGAACGCCTCCAAGTTATTTGGCTTTTCAACTCAAAATTTCAATTGCTAACAGTTTTCTTTTTCTCTTTTTGCAGAGGGAAAAACTATTCTTCTAAAACCTTTACATTAAATGTTGTGCTTATTTGTAAATTTAATATGTCGGCATGCAATGTACTAATAATATTATCTTTTTTTTCTCTTTCAGACCAGAAATCCAGGTTATTGCTATTTGATAATATATAAATACATCGTGACCATGTACACGCACTTGCAGTTTCAGTTATGTTATACACCTTTARCCCTCCAAGGTCGTGCGCTTGCATAAGGTGGAGGACTACGTTTCCAGGGAGATTTTTCGGCCATTCCCTAGTCTCTGGTTTTTCGTAGCTGGCAGCGTACCAAAAATTAGACAAACGATTTTCATGGATAAAGGTTTTGAAAGGAATATAATTGGCTTTTTTTATATTTGCTCGATTTGGCTTACGTTTTTCCAGAGGCTCTGGCACACTAATTCATGTCATTAGTAAATAAAATTTAAATCTGGCCTAAGCCACACCTAATTTCAAGGACGTTGTAGGATATAAAACTAAAAAATATTCGATCAATTCGCAMACACACTTTTGGCATCCTTATTTTTATATTTTACGACGTGTACCGATAATTTTAGAGGTTGTCAATTYTTGGTCTTTCACGGAATCAGCGTCGAGTTGACCTTCTTTTTTTATACTTTCAATGAACACCTCAAGCTTTTCAGTTGGTTTTTCTTCAAACTCTTCAAGCTCTTTGGTTTTTCAACGAACGCCTCGAGCTTTTTGGTCTTTCAACGAACGCCTAAAGCTTTTTGCTTTTTCAACAAACGCTTCAAGCTTTTTGCTTTTTCAACGAACGCCTCGAGCTTTTTGATTTTTCAACGAGCACCTCAACTCTTTTTGGTTTTTCAACAAACGCCTCGAGATTTTTGGTTTTTCAACGAACACCTCAACTCTTTTTGGTTTTTCAACGAACGTCTCAAGCTTTTTGGTTTTTCAACGAACACCTCAACTCTTTTTGNGTCTCAAGCTTTTTGGTTTTTCAACGAACACCTCAACTCTTTTTGGTTTTTCAACGAACGTCTCAAGCTTTTTGGTTTTTCAACGAACACCTCAAACTTTTTGGTCTTTCAACGAACACCTCAAACTTTTTGGTTTTTCAATAAACGGGTTAATTTTTCTTTGCAATTGGGATTTTGACGTTTTCCAAGATCCCGTGGTTCCCTAATATTAAAGATTTTTATTCCAGTCTCGAGATCCTTTCCATGTGGCGTTCAAAGATGCTTCTATATGCACTCCTAGATGCTGAAAGGGTCCAGTTCTGAGGATGATCATAGTTTATAAAGATATATAACCTTATATTGGTTTTTTCGATGTGTGCCAGAGTTTTTAAAATTTGCAAATACTTAAAWAAACAAATTAGTCTTCTTCATTTCGATTGGCATTTGTTTTGGCCTTCCTGTCTCTAAAACCCACCCCAAACTCAGTAGTGTAACAGGGCACGCTCGGCTTACGAGCCAGGAGGACTGGGTGCGATTCCCAGCTGAGTTGGTGGAAAAGAGTCTGGATTCAAAATTGATACGCCGCACAGTTCAAATTCCTGTCCGTTGATGGTATTGAAATTTACCATAGAYGGCTGAGATTAATGACTTGGGAATATTATCTACTTTGCTCTGAGATGGAAGACACATCTGCAAGTTTTCGGTGTTGTTTTTCAACCTCTATTATTTATATTTTGATATTAGACCTAGCGCGCTGTGGCGTGTTAATTGAYCGTTTCAATACTGAATGAATTATTAGGATTAGAGGTTTTAATTACGCAGGGCTAGCAACGTTATTTAATAGATAATTACTGAGGCACGCAGCATTCGTAGGTATAATGCAGGCAGCTRAGGGCTGCGTGCCGAAGTGATTATCTAGTATAATTATCGTTCTTATCAAAATCCAATTGCTTTCTTTCTAGCTTGTTTATCATAGAAACAAAGCCAATAATGAATGAACTAAATATGTCTGATTTTCCTCTATGCATTCGTTGGGATAATGCAGACTGAAAACAATGGATTTTGATAAGATCAGTAATTATTAGCTGTAACACAGGAATTTAGCGCATTGTGCATGCGTGTCCTAGTGATCATTAGAATTTCTACAAGTGATRCCTACTAAGGCTCCTCCTTGCTATCTATCGAATTGAACAAAATCTAGCACTTTTAAAATTAGTCACTAATTACCAGGGACAAATGCAGGGGGGCCGGGGTTCGCCATTTAAAATTTACTATGGAACATGAGAAGATGTATATTTATCCCACGCCATAGAATATACAGCCAATCAAAATGCTTGAAAGACATTGAATATCCRTCAGTTTGACCCCTTCCTTCTCATCATGCGTCAAGTGTTGAATCTACGCATCACAAATATTTGAGAATTATTACAGCATGACTTGAAAAAAAGTGTTTCTTTCATGCGGCTTTTCGCTGTAAAGGCTCGTGCGTATACTAGAAAGTGACAAGTGGGATATTCCATTGTGTAGGGTCTTCCTTGATAAACCTGGGGAAATCTCTTCTTTGTCATATTTTCAACGAAGGAGAGAGGGGTGATTGTTTGTTCAACACTATTATTTTYGAAAGAACGAATTAAAATATAAAATGTCGACGTTCAACCCTCTTACACTCATGTCAGCACACACACACGCGCGCAAAGCAACTCCCACTAACGCCGATTCCCTGCATGTAAACACGSGCAAAGCAGCAGAGATCTGCGCATCTCGTAATCATCATATATGCACCTTCCACAAGTTTTTCTATCAGTTCATTTCCTTATATATCCTGATTAAACAAATTCCATAAATTCTAGTCCTACCGCATAGATATTGGTAAAGACGCGAGCTTGAAGGYTCGTTTTAGAACCACTTGTAGATTTCGAGATATGATAAAACATTTTATCTCTGGGTTCAAAGAATTTCATAGGTAAAGATATCTTTTTCTAACTAGTTTACATTGTTAAATGGGGGACTGATTAAAAATATGGCGCCCGGCTAGGTAGGTTCGCGAGGATTCGAGGTTTTGGGAATCCTGTGGCCGTSTGATAGCCAGCGGCAATTCAATGAGCCGTGTAACCACGCCTTGACTTCCTTGATSTTTGGTTTTCCAACATGGCGGCCAACAACACGATCACAGACGATGATCTTAGGGCTCAATTACTAGAGCTGGGAGAAACTGTTGGACCTGTTACTGCTACTACACGACCTCTGCTCCTTCGTAAACTGAAAAAGCTTCAAACCGAAGGGACCGCTCGAACTAAAAGTGGTAAAAAGGACTCTAGACGAAAGAGCACTCYGGCTTCTCCGAGAACCAGACGAAGTCCTTCGAGAAAACTGATCGGGTTTTCAAGTGATGAAGAAACCGAAGATACCAGCTTCAAAACAAAGAGAAGACAGTCAGGGAGTAGGAGAAGCGTAAAACAAGAAGATGAGTCCTTGCAGGATAACGTGGATGGAGATAGTGAAGCGTTAGGAAGAGTGCAAAGGGGCGACAGAGAACGCGAGAATCCCACCATTCAAAGTTTCAGCTCACTYAACGAATCCAATATTACTGATGATTTATCCGACTCCGAGAGAAGTGCATACGCTGGCCCTTTTCAAARAGGAACCTTTCGATTTCGTTCTTTCCGGAGAAAAAGAGACAGTCCTGAGAGCTCCAAGAGCAGAGTTCAAAAGGAAAACGTTCCTGATCCAGATGAGAAATCTTTTGACCATGACACGGGTCAAGATAGCACAGATGGACGCTACAAATATAATGAGCAGAAACTGTCCAGACCTTCTTTTGTAAATTCTTTAATTCTGATTATAGTTGTACTTTGTATAGCTTTACTTCTGGCCTATTACTTGGAATACTTTCCACCCAACTCAAAATGGATTACATCAACGACGCAAGGTAAAAAGACTTGTTTTGTCTAGATTTTTTTGTTATTTTTACAGGTGTTGCTGGTAATCTTGTCTGATAGATATTCCTTTGTCTGTTTCTATWTATTATGTTATATAAATCATTTGTATAATGTTGGAATTACCCGTTTAAATTCGGCTAAGAAGCTTTGTACTTTGTACACCGCTAAGATTGGACTCTGCTCTATCCTAATTTTATTAAGAAATTTTTTTCTCTAATAGATGATAGAGATTTGTATCTTGTCATTAATTAATAATTCATCATAGTTAAATATGTTTTTGACAAGATCAAGTCGATATTTGAGAGTCATTTATTTATTTATTACTAAGGTTGATAGCTTTTGTTAAATTTTCCTTTTTCGTTTAGGGATTTTAAGTGGTCCATTCATACATAATAGAAAAATATTTTTCTTGCATCTAATTTTAAAGCTATTATCATTACTACATTAGAAAAGGCAGACATGTATTGCAAGGCTTTTGTTTTTAGTTTACTTCTACATTTTGGTCCATTGGCAGATCCTATGACTACAAATTATTGATATGGCAAGTTTGTAGCCATACTGAATCTTATCTAATTATTAATTATCTAATTATTATACAACATCAATTATCATCAATTTGCTTAAATACCCCCCCTAAAATATTACTTTTAAATGTTTGAAAAATATATATATTCTCTTCTATAATAGATTCTCTTCCTTTTTGTGAAAACGGCTTTTCGAATGTAAGTATTATCATTTTACTCATTAAAGACCCATTGCCACTTACCGTGATGCATCACAATTTGTTTACATTTTGAATCGTGTCTCCACTGAAAAAACAATTCCAACATTTTGAATAAACTCTTAGATAGTCCCTAAAGCCTTAAAAGAATGTAAAAGAATCATTTTTGTKCCTTGGTGCTATGTTGGAAAAGGATTTAATATGAAGTTATTTTTCAATATATGAATCTTTGAATTTCATGGACCACGAAATTCATCTGTGACCACGGTGCATCAYRGTAAGTGACAATGGGTCTTTAATTTTGAGTGTGTTGGTGGTGAAAAGAGGRGGTCAAATTCAATCGCATTATGTACTTGTACAAGTAATGGTTCTAGTGCAATGCACAATACTAAACAAAGCAATACAATATAATAAAATATATAAACAATATGAATATCTAGTAAATAAATATTTATTTATCTAACAGCCCTCCAATGAATAGACACTTTTATTTTGGATGTAATCTTTTACATTTTCAGACCATTTGTCATTCCATGAATTGTTTCTTTGTTTAACAGTGTTACACACAAGAAGAGACATGAATATGAATAGAATAAGCTTAGACGAAAAAGGCCTATTGTACTCATTCATATTATATTAATGTTTACTACATGTGTAAACTGTTAATATTTTCCATCCTAGAAAAGCTGCATAACTGAAAGCCAAGCCAGCAATATCTATGCTCTGTATCTTTTTCRTAATTTGTCTAAAAAAGCAGGTAAGACCACATCAAACATTGAGAGGGGGGATTAATTATTTTTTAGAACAAAATGTAAGATATGGTTTATCTTCAGGCCGTTTTGCATGTGACGAGCAAGAGGCAGATGAAGCAAGAAATATTTCTGTACAAGAATTAAAAGCAAAAATAACTGAAGACCATGTAAGTGCTGTAATTAAATATATTTCACGTTGGTTTAGTTGACATTGTATGTTCATTTAGTATAAAAAGAACATTTTTTGAATAATGATTCATGTGGTATCAGGGAGCTGCCAAGAGAGTCTTGGGGTACCTACAACTCATTGCCTATTGTTAGTTTTTTTTTGTAATATGCATGTATTTATTTTTGCATGCATTAAGGTCAGGGGGCTTAATTTAAGGGCCAGTAATTGGAAAATGTCCAGTCAGAATTTGATCTTGTCTGGTCTTGCTGGTCACTTTGACCAGTAACATTGAGCCAGGAACAATGTATGACTGAGCTGAAACATAAAGTACTAACACAACCTTCTTTTTTTCCCCTCACCAGCCAAACTGGTCAGATGCTGCTGTAAAAAATGCTCATGAATTAACTTTAGAATTTCTAGTTAAGAGTTTTGATGATTAYGGTATTAGGTAAGTTCTGTAATTGTTTAGCCCTTGTGGGACATATTAAATATGTGGTACTCTACTACCCATTAAACCATACTTCCATCCTGTATGGGCAGCTACAATTAAAATGCAATAGACTTTTACCTACTTCAGACTGATTGGTATTGCCTTAAGTATTAAAACATTACACATAAGCCAATCAACTATCAAAAAAATAAAGAAATAATTTATCATTGGTCTCTTGTTGTAAGGAACTGAGAAAAAAATCCCCCTGATAAGAAGCAACCCACGACCTTCTAGATATCAGTCAGATGCTCTACCACTGAGCTACAGGAAAGACTCATGATGAGCAGTCATTTTCTGGATTCCTTATCATAAATGGCCTTCATACTGCTCGGTTCACTATGTCCAGCCTTCTAAGTACATTACTTTTGATGCAATAGTATAAATACCTAATATTTTAAGTAATTTATATAGTATGATTGGCTGTGTTGTATCCGATATACAAACTCGAGGCGTAGGCRAGAGTTTGTATATTRGATACAGCACGGACATGAATACTGTAGATTACTTATCAAACGTCCAGGTTAGTTCCTTGGTGTTTCGCTAAAATTTTCAAGATAAAAGTGAATCTGGCCAAGAAAATCCATCTTAAAGTTTATGCAAATGATTCTGTATCTGATTTACAAAACTCTTCACGGTCATCATTTCTGTTGTGTTTTCCTCATGAATTATTAATGAGTTTAATAAAAAATTGTTATAAAATAGACTTCTCTGGAATTGGCTTGAGTGACCACAAAAGGTCAAGATTGAACTTGATGTGTTCATACATCTACTGTACTTCATCAAGTTCAACCTAGACATGGAGGAGATAGAGAGAATAAGCCTTTATATATYATAGAGAGAATAAGAGAAAAAYATAAACATGGAGGCATTGTTTCATGGTCGGGAAAGGACCGTCTATTCCTTGCTATATGCATAACGTTATTATAATGATTAAAATCATTTTAAAATTATTTCAGGTCACAAAGTTTGWTTTTTTTGTTTTTTGTGTTTTTTGTTTTTTTTGTTTTTKKTTTTGTTTTAGGACATATGATAAAGAAAATAAGGAAACAAATGAAACTAGTCAAATCAAATGGTTGGATTCTGCCAAGCCCAACAAATCTCTTCTATGCCGAATAAAACAGTCAATAAATAAGATACTGACTGCTCTAGTCATTGTTTTATGTGGTAAGCCCTTATATATAATGTCTCAAACTGAAACCTTTAGGCCTTTATGTATTATATATCTGAAACCTGTTTTAACAGGGAATAGCTGTCYTGTTTATTATAGTTGTTTCATGTTAGTTTAGCCTTGTGTGCATAGAATATTGAATGTAGTAGTAGTGCGTGTGTAAGTAGTGCGTGTGTAAGTGTCCCCAATCAGTGTAAATGCACTAGAAGGACTAGACACTTAAATAAAAAGATTTTTTATTTTATTTTTTTAAATTTATCTCTGGAATTTTCAATTTTTTTTCAGTTGTGGCAGTGGTTGTTGGTTTTTACTTCATGGTTCGCAGGCGTTGGCGGAAAGAAGAAGAAGATACTCATAAGATGTACAAATTTGTGGAAAATATAATAGGTATTTAAGTTTGAAGTCAGAGTTTTYGATGCTGTAAAAGAAATGGACCGAGGTGGTCAGTAAAGGGTGTTTTCTTCTGGAATATCTCAGAAAYCCTCAGAATAGGGAAAAATTGAGTAAATCACCAAACCAATCCAACCAAACATTCGTAGCAAACCCTGAAACCACTGCTGGGCTGATCAAAGTCAGGGCATGGCTAGCTCACAGATTGAACCCTGAAACRACCTCTGGACTGATCCAAGTCAGGGCATGGCTAACTCACAAATCGAACMTGGTAACAAACACTGGGCTAATCAAAGTCAGGGCACAGCTATTAAACTAACAGATCAAATTGGAATTTAGATTGTTTGGAAGGGAGGGAAACACTCTCTCTCCATAATCTGAGGTGTTTGAACTTTGTGGTTTGTTTGATCAGATATTTTACGCAAGCATCACGAGGCATGCAAGACAGACAAGGAACTTCCTCCTTATCTTCCTATTCCACATGTTAGAGATATGCTGATCAAACCTCCCGAGAGGTAAGAAATGTACACTTAATAATACAGTGGAACCCCGTCTCACGGCCACCCACTTAATACAGCCACCCYGTTATTGCGGTCAGCTCTTTTGGGTCCCAACGAAATGCCCATACGTTTACATTTACTTTTGAATGTCCCTTCGGTGGCCRGATAAACAGGGTTCCACTGTAGCTATATTTTGGCTTGAAACTTAACATCAGAAATGTTTGAGCAGAGCTTCGTAGTTTCCAATTTTTGAAAAACAAACTATTTGTTGTGCCTATCGTTAGTGCTAGCATGTGAAAGATTATTAACTACCATCTGGTTACGTAGCACAAAACAGTACACTCTAATGACAATGATTTATCACTTGAATGGCTTACTTGCAGACAAGCACTGTCAAATGTTTGGAACCGTGCCGTGAGATTCCTGAGTGCTAATGAGTCTCGTATACGTGTTGAAAGCCAGAGAATTGCTGGTGAAGACTTTGAAGTCTGGAGGTGGATTCACGTAACATCTCCTAAACACCATGGTCACAAGATGGCTATACCTGTAAGTAAAACCAATGTGTAATTTCCCTTATGCGACTGTCGTCTCATGTTCCATATTTTGCCCCAAACTCAGGCAGGCTGCAGTGAATTTTATAGACAGGACGCAAAACATGAAACATTCCATATTAAGTTCTCAGTGACACAGAAATCCCATGAGAGTGGTACTCTCCGCTAACCACAACAAATTATCCCTCCCCTCCCCTCTCTTCCCCCAAAAGCATATGATAAGGCTCAAAGCCACCCTTGGTCCACTTTGTTTAATATGCATCTGATAACAATGGACTTGTGTACAACCTTCTATCTAATGATGTTCTTGCAGGAATCAAAGAAACCTAAGTGTTGGCAAGGACAAGGTGTGTATCTTAAATTTTACTRTATTTTGGATGGAATTAAGACATAAAAGCCACTTTTAAAGTAAGACAGAATACATTCCTTTATTAAACACAATACAGAACAAGTATTTTTATGTGGTTAAAATTTTTTTTKGGGTCACTGATAAAACAAAATAAATATCTAAACTAGAAATTGCTAAAATGACAACCTATCCAACAACCTATTGATACCCTACTTACATTATGAACTCTTGAAACCCTTTTTTTCCCCTCAAAGTTGATAATRACTCAAGACTTGCTGCACCATAAAGATGCCTATTTTAGGGTCTCATGAATAACCTTGGATACTCAATCTAACATTGCAGTGTAATTTCTAACCATGTTATATTACCATTTCTGTATTTGGGTTACTTTGCTTGGATTTTTACTAGACTAAGTGTTTATTTTTGAAATATTTCAGCATTTGAGAATTTCCAGTGGGCTGTTAATCCACCAATAATAAGCCCCACCCCCTGCCTGAAGATAAGGAACATGTTTGATCCTGATGTGTAAGTATAACCAAACAAGGAAAACATCCACTGGGTAGCCTGAGGGAAGCACAGGTWGTGTGTGTCGCTAATGGGTCACCTATCACCATTGTGACCTGGGTTAGAACCCTGTTGGCTCCGTGTCATATGTGAGTAGAGTTATTTGTTGATTCTCTTGTGTGCTTCAAGTGTTTTMCCTCCAGGTTCTCTGGTTTTTCCTCCCTCCACAAGAATTAACTTCTAAATTCTAATTTGATACATATCGGCTGCCTWAGCAATTGGGGTGCAAAACCTGTTAGATTATATGCCATCCACCCAYGAGTAGTTAATGCATTAGATAACCTATCAGTAGAGTACCCAGACATCTCAACTGGTCTCACAGAAAGAAAGATGAGATATTTGCATGAGTTGCATATTTATTTATACGTCATGTACTTCCAGTTATCTTAATTGTTCAAACTTKTCCCCCTGCAGTGAGATGGAGGAGCATTGGCATGTGTTCATTCAGGATGCCATATTAGAAAAGTGTATTGATGCAGGTGCTAACATAGTGCATATTGCTGTCGACAAGAGTTCTAGTGAGGTAGTTATACTCTGCATAATGTTCATGAGGGAGAGGAATTGATTTRAAATTTCCTACCACAAGAAAAACTCCTTGATACCATTATCTTATATTAAGTGTGACTCCAAGTTTGATGGTCATTGAAATGCTAGTCAGCAAGTGAGACATCAAGCTTTGCGGGTTGCACTTCAATGGTAATGGTAGTAAAAGTTCCTTTGTACATGCAACAAAGTTGCACAACTTGTCACACAACAAAGTTGAGTTGCAGCTTGCAGAGCAACTGTTGCTTAATTTATTACCACCCCACATTGCAATATGTTTTGCTTGTTGCACAAAGTGTACATGTAAGCTTCTTCAACTCTTTGCTATGAAGAAAATAGAACTTACAACACGTCAACATTGTTGTATAAGAAGCCACACAGCCTTTTCTTTTTGCACATAGAAGTACCCCCTAAACTCCTTTAAAAATCCTGCAATAAAAGGGACTTTTAAAACATCATTCCGTTACCTCAATCGGCCAGTTTAATGATGTTTCATAAGATTCTTCTTTTTCCAGGGCTGTGTTTATGTGAAATGTGACTCACACCACTCTGCTGGTGTTGCTTTTAAGAGCCTTCATGGTTCCTGGTTTGATGGTAAGTACTGGCTTTATGCAGTGCAGCTTTGATTTATTATATTCAAAGCTACTTACAAAATATGTGGTTTTCGTAATACTATAGGTCGACTTGTTGCTGTAAAATACCTCACCCTGAGAAGGTACCACCAAAGGTTCCCTAGGGCTCTTACAGCAACAGGGGCCCTGAAACCTTCTGGCACAAGCCCCTCATCATTAGTGACCCTGGACCCTGAGGATAACATGGAGATCAATGACTCGGATACAGAGGTCTGAAAGCAGTGTGATGTTATAGGTATTTGAGTTGCTGATTTTTCTCTTCAAAATTCAAAAACGTGTATTATCATGTTTTTAGAAAATAATCATTTGAAGTTCGACATTTCTATCAAAAAATATTCAGCCACTGAGTTCATAGATTATGTTTTCCTTGGTTGCTGTTGGCAATATCATAAGTATCCTGAAGTTAGCAACGATTGAGTTATCCAGGGTTGAATTCCAGCAAGCATTGAACCATAATTGCCTTTGTTTCTTTTTTCTAACTGATTTTGAAGATTTAGGAAAATGAAGCCAATRCTGTTTTGAATCGCAGTTTACATAACCAGCTGAATTGACCTCGTTCCTAGAAAGGAATTATGTTAGGTTTTGCTCCATGACGTGCTRGCAGTTATGATATAGTTTCCTAAGCAGGGGCTATTAGTGTGGTCACGCAACGCTCACTCGTGACGACACTAATAGGGGCTGCGTAGAAGACTAGTTATGTTATAGATGGCAGAACAATAAAATCACTTTGCACTTGGAAATTGAATTCTTGTTGAATTCATGTAAAACAATTGTATCGTTCCTGCAATCTAACTTGGCTGCCGTCACGTGATGGTGCAAAACCTCTATAAAATGTCTATACATTTCAGTCCGTGCTTAAAAAGTTTTTCAWCTTAAATACCAGTAAATAATCACGAAGCCTATTAGAGCTTACTTATATCAAAACATTCAAAGTAAGTTTCTTATTTGTAAAAAAATAATGATACTTTAGTGTATAAAAGTTTGTAGATCGACTAAAACAGATCTAATAAATAATACTTACATGTATCCATTTGTCTCACGATCGAGGGTCATCAGTTATGAAAAGGAGCTAGTCTTCATCAGGTGATGGTGAAGACAGGACCAGTGTGTCTGTTATATACCGTTAGTCAGAACATCAGTGTTGTGATTGATGATTTGACAAGCTGTGATGAAGACTAGCAGCTTTGCAGTCAAAAGATCACGGTCCTTTCTACAAAGGACCCTAAATCGTGAGACAAATGGATAAGTATCATTTATTACGTTTCCAGAATAAATAATATTGTTCATTCTATAGAGCAGATCTATCGTAAGTGGGGAAGCATAGACCTTTTCTGAGTTCGATAAACATCRTGCATTGTGGTCTATCTTGGGTACAAATATATTTTGTTCATCATGCTTTATATGGTGTTGTTTGTRCCSAARCTAGACCACAATGCATCATGTTTATCGAACTCAGAAAAGGCCTATGGCGGAGTGCTGTGTGCCAATAAAAAATACATGTAAATACATRCACATTGTTTAGTAAACTAGGCATCACAAGCCTCCCCCTCTGTATCGAATATGTTCTGCTGTAAGTGTCCTGTTGCTCTGTCTAGTCATCATCGTCATCTTCATACCACTATTATCATCATCATCTCAATCCAAGACGATGGTCATTCAAAAGGTCTACCCAAACATAAGAATTCTTTAAATTGAGATTAGATTAGTTGACATTATACTTTTTCTCAGTTAGTTTATGTRTTTTTTATTTTTGGCTTATAAAATGTGTAACTGCATTACGTTCTTTACCGATTAACACCCTAATTAAGATACTTTTATTCTAAATTAAAACTCAAGTTATGAAGGATTTTTCATGCAACTTGCGTCGCCAAAGAAAGATACAAGAAAAGGAAGCTAAAAGAATGTCTCTTGTGCTACGAATTTTTGAAATTTATAGTTTGAAAACAGATTTTTGGTTTCTACTTTTTCAACAAATGTATCTAAATTGCACTATGAAATAAGGTGTAACGTCAAGAGAAAAATAATGGGCAGTTCATTTTCTCTTGGTAACATGCACACGTGCATAGGTTTGTCGCGAGGAAAGTTGCACGAAAGAGCACTACACATTAATTTAAGTGATCCTTGGATCTTAATGCTTTTTAATTTTTGTTATTATTTTGTTTGCCATTGTTGCAAGTGTAACTAAGACTTATTGATCGTATTGTCAAATTATTTTACCGATCTTTTTTAATATTAACCCATTGTAAAAAGTTGCTTTGCCATTTGTTGTTATTGAGTCTGTAATGTCAACTCTATGGAGTATACACTGCATATCCGAGGAAAACTTTGTAAGAAATTGCACAAATTAGTAAGTTCAGTAGACCTTAGACCTACAAAATTTTGCACTAATTTGTACAATTTTGTTAGTAACTTTTTCACGGTTTTATAGTATGCACTCTTTCCGTGAAACAACTATAGAACTAGCACTAGTTAGTACTATGTAGCAACGATGAAACGATAGAGTGTTCTATTTTGTACTAGATACTGTTAGTGCAAAATATATCCAGTACTTTTTCATAGATCAAGTGTCATTTCACAACATTTCACTGGCAATGTTGGGTGTTTTTGGAGGATTCTCACCTCTTACTCTGGTCAAGGGCCTCTACCAATCTTGTGGAATACCAATTGGTATTATGGGATATTGGATTAAGAGTGACTAGAAAGTCTGTGAAGGAAGAATGTACGGTTTCTCTTTTATTTAGCCTGCTTTAGGTGTATGGAGATAGTTGTGTTCACATGAAGTATCTATTTGTGTATGCACGTACAGACAGGCCCCGTTGGTTTCCAATCCTATAATAARCATGCCTTTCTAACAAGGCACACAAAAGATAACACGAATAAGYAACAAAGAATCAAGAAGTAATCCCTTTTTCATGTCAGTGACGTTTTGCTTGCTTGAGGTCAGTGAGTTGTGTTAAGGAGAATCGCGAATCTTCCTGTTACTTTTAAAAACCGAATTTTATCGGCCATACCTCGAAACAACGGCCACTGACGATTAAAGTCGGGGTATGGTTCAATTAACTCTTAGATCAAACACTAAAACGATGAGCTTCTCGGCTATCYACTGTCGGTATCAGGTTTTGCGGAAGAAAGAATTAACACCCTTTCTCAGAGAAAAAGCTTCTAATCAAGGTAGAGACCTAATAATCTCTACTCACATACTGCATACAAAACAAAACAAAAAAAACTGCATACCGAGATAAGGAATGCAACCCGAGATCCCAGAGGGGAGGCGAGTGTAGTACTGCAAAGCCACCCTTGGTGCTTTTATCGATTCGATCATTTCGTTTTGTACRTAATGAATTACGATTGACTGCTGTCCTACTGAAAGAAGAGAGGACCATGAAGAGGAAGAGCGGCATTCGGTGTACTAAATTTTTAAGTCGCAGTCCACATCTTYATTCTTATGCATACTAGTCTGCTATATTTAACAATCTTAGCCCCTTCTCAGTATTTTTAGGGTTCACCATGACCATTTAATATTTTGTTGTTTTGCTATCCACTTCACTGAAGGAAAATGATCAGAGTTGATCCTGGTATTCTATCACATGTCGCTAACGAGATTTAACTACAGTGTAGCTTGGTATCAAATTTCTTCAGTAGTATTGAGTTACAAGCTGTTTGTGGAACAAGTTGAATGACCGACTCTTCAAGCTGATACTTTACAAACTACAGCCAAACTGTCTACCAAACCACGGTTAGTTTTCGACATGACTTCACAAGAGAAGATGTCTGGTGGTGTGGAAGGAGTGTACGATGGAGAAGATGTTGAAATCCGCCACGAAACTATCCATCCGTCACTTCGTGGACACCACCTCGACATGGGCGATCGGGATCCAACGAAAATGAACGACCATGTTAAGGTACGAAGCCTGGAGTTGTTTTATAGTATCATCTTATGAAACTGGAAAATATTTAGTATTAAACTGAACATTCAAATATGGCCGATTTTTGAGCGAGGAAGCCTAAACTTCTCTGTCAGAGTTTTCTCCAAATGTAGTCTTTGACTAAGCCTCGTTCGGTATCAAAAGCTATGTGTACACATGCAAAAGCAATATGTATTCCTGCGTTTACACATGTTAAACCAAAGGAATTAGTAAAAACAGAAGCTTGGCGTTGAAATGTTTCACTTTTCATACTTGCAGATATGTAAAGAATGTTTYCTTCCTAATAGATCGACTAACAGTTTAGTATTCAAACTATTTCATATCAGTAGATTATATTCAGAGTAAAAAAAAAAAATCATCAGTTTTAGGATGACAGTAGCCTACGACAACTTTTACTTTGAATTTCAATTCCTTTTATAATTTTTTTGACACGAAAAATATKAATTAAATCTAAAGAAAAACTGAAAGGTTTACCACAGGAAAACCCGCAATATATGTCGCGCYTGAGCACATCTATATGACAAAGTCAAAACAAATACAAATCATATTTGAAAGGTCAGGAAAAGACTAGTTCGAGTTACATACTTCCACGATGGAGTCTATCAGTTCTTCCCTTGAACAGATTTTGCATATACCACTCGATTCATTCTTTTACYCAGCCTTGTAAGGGCTAATAGAACCCTTTAATAAATCCCAACCATGCCTCATTTTACCGAAAAAAGTATTCCCGACCATGTCGCGAGTTACCTCTTGCCCTCCTTGCTCATTTTGAGTACCGATACTTCGTATCTCTGACTCCCCCGCTAAACTGTAACCTGATATCACCATGGTGATAATCTGTTACGATTCCAATCTGTATCCTCATATACTCAACATAATTATGTTGTTTTCGAGACTCGATAAATCAGGTGCGCCATGCGCAAATGAAACTCGACTGATCTTTTTGACGCTTAYGTTGAGGATTTCGCGCGCAATATGCATTGGACAAACGGAGGATCTTCTCGCGTCTCCCCTCCCTGTCCCCGCACTGTCGTCACCAACAACGTCTTGAGTGGGTCTTTTACGTCCGCCTTACACAGGGTTATATAGTCAAGACAGACGGGACCTAGTTAAMAGTCATTGTCCAAGAAGATATGAAGGTCTAACCATTTGCAGATTGGATTGCAAAGGCAGCACCTTCCCAGTTATTTCAAGACCCGAGTGTTGGTCAGGTCGAGGYTTGAATCCCCACATCCCACACAACAGACCGAAGTTCTTACCAAACTGAGCTAGCTATATTATTTTAAAACGTGCGCGTTTYTGTCCTTAGGTATTTTATCAAGACGTATTTGCTGAGCCCGATGGCAGCTATAGTATCGATGGAGTGTGGAGAACATCCTTTTCGACCTTTGTAGCCACCAAGTACTGGTGTTACCGCATCCTGACGGCCATCTTTGGTGTCCCTACAGCCATTCTCTGTGGRTGTTATTTTGCGTGTCTTAGTTTTGACTACATCTGGTGCATCATGCCCTGCCTAAGAGGATACCTCATTGAGCTCCAGTGCTTGGGTAAAGTCTGGGGACTTTGTATTAGGACATTCTGCGACCCTCTCTTTGAGTCTTTGAGTAAGATATTGGGTGGTATAAAACTTACCAAAGTCAAAACTCAAGAAGGCGGAGCATTCAATGCTTAGTTTCGGATCGAAGTTTCAAAACTTGTCAAACTACAAGATGTCTGCATTTTYATCAGACACAAGGCTTTGCATACTTATCCATGATTTTCCGAATATCAAGACTGCGTATTCTTCTCTATAGAATTGGCAATAAACCGTAGTTTTCAACCAAGTGTGTAGAAAAAGGTTTAAAGTAATAGGCCCTTTGCAGCTAAGCAATCACGTGCTGGTTAATTCACTGAGAGCAAATGAATGAACATTTTGATTCGCATGGGTGAAATTTACTTTCTACATCCTGTTTCGAGAGATCGTAATAAAACTGCATTTCGTAGCAGACTGGATACATGTTTTCATTCAGTTCTTTACGAGTGGCTAAAAAGAATCACCGATTTAATATAAAAACAAAAATTTTGCATTCTAGTACAGACACGTGACCGTTAACTGCAAAGGGCCTATTGCACACGCCTTAATCAGTTAAAAACGTTTTAAAATCTAAGTTTTAGAAAAGGGGAGTTGCAGAAAGCTTTGACAGGATACGATGGCGAGGGTTAGATTTTTTTATTAAACAGAATTAGTAGTGTTTTCTCATTCATACGCCAAAATTCCCAATTACTCCCATTATGATGGATCAATAACTGGTCAGCACTCTTTACAAAGAAATATTTTTGAAGTAATTAAATTTGTACAATGAATAGGACTCATTTTAGGCTTATTTTACTACCACCACCAAGATTTTCTTTTTTATTCAAATTTGCATTTCCTCATGAAAGCGTGTAAGGAAGTCTAATAGTGATAGTAAATGACGTTAACTATAATGCAAATAGAATGCATTATGTAAAAYCATATTGAAGTTACAAATATAAACACTAATGGATTACAAGTACTTTGCTATACCAACAATATCAGTAAGAGGATTTACGATATCTTGTCATGGAAACTGTTGTTAGAATATTATTTACTTAAGAATTAGATGCACCACATTGATGATGATTTGATGTAACAAATATTGCTTTGGGGACTACAGCCCCTTAACCCGTCCCCCTCTGTGGTTCCTAATATTCCCTGCTCCCTGCTCTATCTTATCCCAACCCTAGGGAACCCCAATCCCCCTTCATGGTCCCCGATATCCCCTGCTCTATCCTATTGCATCCCTCTTTGGAATCCCAATTTTACCTTGTGGACAAGGAATGGATGTTTTCTAGTACTATGGCAAAAACAAATTCACAACTATAAACCTATAGCTAGGGTCGCCATGACATGAGGCAAAACAATATAATCTTTTCCCCTTGGAAACTGAATTCTTTCTCATGTAAATCAGATTAGAGCAGAATCAATTGTTCCTGTCATGGCTGCCATCTCGTGATGGTTCAAAGCCATTATTCTAGCATTAATAACATAGATATTTTATATTCTCAGTATTTAATGTCTTCAGTTCGTAACCTAAGGTTATAATTTCTGTAACCTCAAGTTAAAACTTTAACTAGTGGATCAAATTTTTGTTACAAATGGCTGGTGCTATACCTAGATGATGCAGTACAAAGGCTTGTAGCCTTCGGAGTTTAATCAAAGTACCAGTTGTAGGACACAATTCAATTACTTTTTCTTCTTGACACAACTACCCCAGTCTAGCCCTCCACATGCAGCAGATACAATAAAATACAAAATTAGCTGAAATAACAAAAAAGTATATATTAGCATGAGGACTCTTATTAAGACCCATAAATCAGACTGCTAGCAGAGGGGGGAGGGGTACAGAGGAAAGAGGCTTATGTCTCCACACACCACCTCCCCACCTGAGACCCTTCAGAGAAGCAGGAAAGTTTAGAGGGAGTATACGTTTTAGCGTTAAAAGTACTATGTTGTTAGGGACAGTGGCACAAGCTTATCATATTGAAACCAGTCTCTTCGATTTTAGAGTTGTTGACTTAATAACCTTATGCTGTTGCCCCTAACAAAATAGTACAAACATACATAGATCTATTACTTACAATGACTATAATTGCCAGGATAATCATAATTTTGACATTTTTCCACCACATAGCTCTTGCAAGACCTTTACTTGACTTCTTAAATGTGAGAGACTGAAGTAAAAAAGACAATTATTATYATTATGACAACTTACAACGACCATTGTAATCAAAGTATTTCCCATAAAGTCCTTTTTTTTTACGAGGGTAGCACTTAATAGCCAGTGGTTAACAAACCTGTGGCCCTCATTCTGTGATTAAATTGGAATTTAGGAGTTGATTTTTGCAGAGGAAGGAAAACCGGAGAATCTGGAGAAAAACCCTTGAAGCACAGGAGAGAACCAACAAACAACTCTACTCATATACAACACTGAACCCGGCGGGACTCAAACTCGGGTCGCATTGATGAGAGGCGAGCACTCACACCGCTATGCCACCCGTGCTTCCCAAAGGGGGTAAGTCCCAACTAACTTCAACAAATCATCCCTACACCCCTGTTTACTTATAATTCCATTATAGCTTACAGTGGTATTAAGGTCCTCAGCCTTATCAATCAATAACTCCAGTCGTTCACCTCTGCTTGCAATACTGTCTGTAACACAATCAATTAATTATAATCAATATATAGCCCACTCATCTATCTTGAATGCACCACTTACTACTAAAACCAGACRTCCTTTGAACTGTGAATAAAATTAGCCGACGTCACRTTCCCACGCTTCAGGCGCGACGCTGGCATAAGAGTKATCACGTGATGTACAAACTTTATCTTYGCGCTCTTAGACTTGTAGCCAACGGCTTCSAAAAATGTTGAGTAAGAAAGGCCGAAATTTTACCAATGGGAAAGCACTAAGCGAAGATATGAGAAGTAATATCATCAACTCTGTAGTAAAGCAAGAAGGAGGTTACRTTTCTGGATTTTTTGCTGGAAATCTTTCTGAAATTGGAAGAAACTACAACGTTAGTTGGCTACAAGTCTAAGAGCGCGAAGATAAAGTTTGTACATCACGTGATCACTTTTATGCCAGCGTMGCGCCTGAAGYGTGGGAGCGTGACGTCGGCTAATTTTATTCACAGTTCAAAGGACGTCTGGTTTTAGTAGTATGACTTAGGAAAATATGCCATCAAAAAATTCCAAAATTTCCTTGATGGTATTTGTGCCATTTTGTGTTTTTCATGTTTGTGCTAAAGGATTGAGGATTCCCTATGTGCAAACATTCTTCACATACCTATATTTTTGACCATTATTCCTCTTAGTTCATCTAGTTCTCCCTGAACTTTTGTTAAATTGCTCTGACCTTCCTCCTGCTCTGAAAATCTTTTCTATAACAAATGAAATCAATGCAACTATGAAAGTAATCATGGCTGCTGGGATCATGCCAAGACCTTTTTTTAACTCTACATTCAGGACTTTTGATTCATAAATTTAACTTTTAGCTCATTAATTAGCAGGAAGCAGTATAAATTCACCTACATATATGTCTGGCATTGACGTTTCCACTTGTCAATGCTTGAGGTCCCTACTGATTGCCAGGATTCCTGGCCATAATATTTTGTTTAATGTGCACAGGACTTGTTTTTTCTCTGCACATTTAGATTTTTTTCATGTTATWTAATGCAGGTAACAAAACCCAAGATAAAAACCACTCCCTTGTGAATCCCAACTCATATGAAAAGGATTTTTAAAATTACTCTTACCATTTCCACTGATAATACCCTAGAAAATTCACTATTCATGGCAAATGGCAATGCTGTCTGGGCTCTCCCATGATAAGCCATCTGAAATCTAAACATTATTTTTATGGCTAAAATACTGAAATAATATTTCTAACTCAAAGGTCATGCTTTGATATATTTCCCCGGTGGGGGGGGATACTACCACCCCAACTTGGGTAGGGGTGTGCCACCAGAACCTCAAAACCCTGACCCTATCCCAGACCTAAAATTTTGATTTTACATATCCTACCCCAGACTAAAACTAAGAATTGTACACCCTATCCCAGACTAAAAGAYGGAAAATATGGTTTTACAATCGATTGCAATCAATATTTACTAACATTTTTATTGTTTTTGGTCAGCAGAAAGCCTAGCCTATTTGCCAGACAAAAACGACCAAATCGTTAACCCTATCCCAGACTAAAATGATACCCTATCCCAGACAAAATGTCAAAAAATGATACCCTACCCCAGACCCAAAAGCCGAAAAACCATACCCTATAGGGCAGCACATACCAGTATAGCAAATATAGGGGAGTACCCCCCCCCCCCCGGGTATATTTCTAATCTTAAAAGGAAACTACATTGTTCAGCTGTGAATATATTACAATTTGGAGCATGCTACTTGGTCTCAGATTTTAGATTTCAGATCTCAGACCAACAACATTTCTTAAAACAGGTGTATATAGATAATTATTAGATATATACCACACAAAAAGCTATAATTAATGAAAGCCATAATATTAAAACAAACTCCTGGTTCAGGTAAGTTAGAAAACTGCAATACATTAATATTCAGCATTTCCCTCTTAAAATAAAGTTATTGTATTAAAATGAAAATATTTAGATCTACCTTCTTTTGATTTCATTGAGGAAATTGAAAGCTTTAGACCTTTCAAAATTCTGAAACCAAACAAATGAAAACATAAATCATAAAGAAAATTGCTTGAAGTCTAACTATAATTAATTCCTTGTATGAATACTTACATCATCTGTAATGCACAGATAAATTATCCTGTCTTCTGATATGTAGTGAAATAAGTAACTAAAATAAAATAAGAGTTGATCAAGGGTTAGTTTAAATGCCATAACCTTTTTTATAGCATTAATTACTTTTAACACAACAGTCTTTGGAAAGTATACAAAAATTTTTAAGAATGTAGTGGTAGTGTRTGTAGTGTGTGCGCCCTCTAGCAATTTTTTTCTGTCGCTACGAAGAACCTTTTGATGGATGTCAATCAAGGCGTTTCCATGACATTCTATAGGCACGTGCCCTTATAGCTTTGTGTTTTCTGACAATGTTATGGAAATGCCTTGTGATTGACGTCCACCAAAATCTTCTTCGTTGCGACAGAAAAAAATTGCTAGAGGGCGTGTGTGATTGCAAATGGCTGTAACTTGACAAGGAGGAGCCCCTTATGGGTGATTGTTGTGATTGTTGTAAGAAATATGGTAATAATCAATGCAGCAAATATAATAATAAAGAATCAACAATCAAATACATGCTGGAACTACATGGAATCCCACCTTTTGTGTCTAGTACAAATATCCAATTCCCACCCAGATCTGGGGAGTGATTACATAAAGGCACGAACTCACAGTGCAACATTGAGCACACTTTTGCAGTCAATATTGCTGAAGTACTATCATTTCTACTTCATGGCTCTTAAGGACGATTGCTTGCAGCCTTGCACACAATCATTGCACTGTGTCCTCATAGCTTAATGCCCCAGGTCTTATGGGTCTTTTAAGATGACACCCATATGTTTCTGCCTGGTACATGCAATGCCCTAAAATTCCTTACCCTTGGAGGGTGGAGTGGGGTCACTGAGTTGTCATTCCATTAAAGCAACTACCTGTGTTAAGCAGTCCCTAAAGAAGCCCCATGTCTAAGTCTGTAACTTCAGGATCAATAGTTGTATTTCATCAAAGAACGTTGGTTGATTATACTTAAATGCTTTCAATGTCTCAATAACTAAACAAGAGCAGTACATACCTTCCTTGTGTATAGGTCAGCTTAGAGTTTTCTGGAGGTATTCTAGCAAGAATCTGCTCAGTAACCTCAGCAAAGTTCCCAGCACATGCAGCAAACTTTGCTAATATAGTAGTTCCCCTCGCAACTACACTGTATAGCAACGGCATGGTTTATGGCAAGTTATCTGGTTAAAAAAACAAACTAGATTACATGTAACTATGAATGCCATATAGAATAAAGACCAATACAGCTTCAGTTTATAATCTAGTAAGTAGCAGAATAACCATATCTAGGCAAGAGRTACTCTTGGAAATTTTAACATGAAGCCTAGATCATAAAATCTTAAGGCAACCAATTCTGATGAGTTCRGAAATTTTCTAACTAATGTATATAAATAATAATAAACTAATTGTTGATTGTATAAAATGTTAAAAATACAAGGGAAAATATATTCAAGGAATATAAAACATACATGTGTGATACAAACATGCTGGGAGCTGTAGAGCAAGAGAGCAGCAAGTTTAGGAACATGAGGCCAAGCATCAATGTACTGATGAATCTTTAGAAATGCAAAAGTTTTTTATAAGGTCTTTATAAGCAGGAAAAAATTCAAATTATTCAACCTAAATACATGCAATTTGCTTGTTTTATAGTTTTCTTTTAAAACAATTACAATGAGTTTCACTTTCAACGAAATTTTGTATCAATAAATAGCAGAAAAAATATATGATGTTACAAATTGTTAAATGTGTTGTATAATTTCATTTGCTTACAACTGCAAAAGAGATCATTAAACATATGTGTTGTATTTTTTTATTTACTCACAAAAGAGGAAATTATTGTTAAATAGATATCTACTCCTGAAGTCAGGCAATGATTTTCTGACTTGAAGCTCATTTCTGTATAACCTTTCAGTTATTTTGCTTAGAAATATGAAGCTCTCTCCTGGTGTACTTTATATTATATCATGTATCTCTGCTCCTTGTGAGAGGCTCATTGTCAATTTGATATGGCCCTTAAGAGGGACTCATTGACATTTTTTTTCCAAAGATGTCAATAGCCCCTGGGTATACCCAGGCTCCCCCCGTTGGGGCAAGACATTGATAGGTGCATTACAAGGGCAGATCTAGCCAAAATTTTAGGGGGGGGCTAATTGAGTTTAGGAGGGGGCTAATTGAGTTTCTTTCATCAACACAACGGAAAACAAGTAAAAAAGCATCGTTTTTTCTGCTGAAAGGAAGGGTTTCAGCCCCCCTTTGCCCACCCTGGATCCGCCCTTGCATTACACTCGTTTTTCATATGGTCTATTAAACCATCTTTTTATGACAAGTTTGAATTTGTATTTATGTACTAATTAATCAATGTGTAAAATTAACACTAATGATACAACTTATGGTCATAATTTCATTTTATAAACGAATAAATACTACAGCAATTTCCAATAAGAAATATAGTAACACACTAGGCAAATCATTGTGTATGAATTTTTCATCGTATATGCAAAATTAGTTTTTATGATGATGATTATAAATGCGACATTGTACAAATGTACAACAACTATTTAAAGAGTGTATACACCATACAAAGTAGCTCAGAGCATAAAAGACACGTAAGATAAAAATATATATACATTCTAATAGTAATAATTTCAATATTTGTATGTATTTCTAAAGACATTTGCAAACGAGGCTTRTTGGGTCACGAGACATTTATTTGACAAAAAATAAACTTCATGCAAAGCAAATTCYTCAAAGAAATACTTACAAAATAAYCATAAAWCCGTATCAATATTAAAATAGGATGRATATGGATGAGTACATACAGTATTGAACTGCTTACCTAAGTCTTAGTATTCTTTTTCCACCATAAAATAGCGACTTTTCGAAGTCACTTCCTCTTTAGCTCTTTTGCTCTTTACTGTAGTTCTCGACTGAGGTTTCCCCGGACAAACCTTTCTCATAGGAAACTAGTGCCGAGTCAGTGTAAARTGACCGCTGTACACAAATATGCAAATTTTTATTTTTCAAGATGGCGGACGAAGAAGAAAGTGTTAAACATAGACTTGAAGTTGTAAGTTAATCAATGTTTAAATCATTTTTCAAAGCCATGAGAGATTATGTTTGTTTACCTTCGGTGCTTTCTGTTATCATTTCATAACTTTGGAAAAAGTGCATTATCGATCTTTTTCAACTTATAAAACATGATGTTTCCACATGTTTGTTTTCGTTACTCTGTTAGTAAAACTTACTAGATGTGTATATGTTTGAAAATTACAAGATACCAACTGGAGATCCAGATGATGAAACATGCGCAACGTTTGTAATGCACGAGGAAGATCATACTCTAGGGAACTCGCTAAGATATATAGTCATGAAAAAGTGAGTACACTAATGGTGCACATCTTAAGGTGAGATAGTGTATAGGGGCAGACGATGGACAGATAAATAAAACTTGAGATGGAACATGTTCTGAGACAAAAGTCTCTATTTCGCAGTAGATCCATCACCTTTGGCATGCTGGATGTTCATGATTGATGGTAACCATCTGTTGGCAATAGAAATATCGAAAAGAATATTGCTAATAACTAGGCCATCGAGGATTGCACACCATAAAAATGCATTCATTTGCAAACGGTATTGATAATTCAATTTGGGGAAATATATATCACAAGCTTTACCAAGGAAAGGCCTACAAAWAATGTTAATGACATAATGAGAAGGACAATATTTATCAATAAAGGTGGATTTGAGGTGGAGGGAGGGACTTTCAATCCAGAATTTGTTCTACCACCCTTGAGTATGACATCCTATATTTTAACCAAATTTTTTTTTCAGCCCAAATGTGAAGTTCTGTGGCTATACTGTCCCACATCCTTCAGAAAACAAAATCAATTTTAGAATACAAACAAATGGTAATTTTTAGTTTTACTGAAATGTTTTCTAATTCTGAATAGCATAAAATACTCTGGTGGATTTTCTAAATGTTTATGTTTAAACTATTTCCTCTAAGAACAAAGGGATGGTATTTTTCATGGTTATATTTTATTTATTATATTTGAATGACATATATATATATTGGAATGCAGACACTGTCGTGGGTGGATCTGGGATTTTRAGTAGGGGATACACAAAATTAAATAGTTACAATAAAAAAATGTTTAAACCAATCACATTGCAAGCTAGAAGATGGGTTGCTGGAGAGGCTTTCTGTGATCTTCCATAAATTGATATGTCACTGAATATTTCCTTGTAATAGTACTATTAATATTAATGGTACCATTTAGTATTAAATATATTTGATTGTCTGTCTATATARATAAAATATCATGTGGCATAGGTATTGACAGTCCAACTCATGACTGTATAATTTCTACTAGGTGTTCCAGCTACTGATGTGCTCAGAAGGGGACTTTCTGAATTATCAACTGTCTGTGAACATGTGCTTGCTACATTTGAGGTAAAGATTCTGTTATATTTTTTCTTTGGTCTTTCTATCTTTCTCTAATTGATGGATTGCAAGCATTCCCAAGTAGATCAGAGAGTTAAAATAAGGTGGCCATTGTTGTGCCCTTAACAATGGATGCTGATAAGAAATATTTTGTTAAATGGCACCAACGCTCCCCTAAGAGGCCGTGATGACGTAACGTGCAATCGAAGAATACTCTAGCCTGCATGCAGCCAGACTTATGACCAGTGTTTAAGACAGATTGCAAAATCAGCAAAGCATTCTTTGCTCTAGAACCCCTGTATATTTGTGCAACTATATAGTATCTGATTTTGCTGCTCTGTCACTTTATTCTTAAACACATTCTGATCAATCTGTGAAATCAGCCTTCCTCTTGTTGTGAATGTTTTGAGCTTGTTTTGATAGCAACAACAATAGATGCTTAGATGTTTAATTCACCCCTAAGATCCTGTCTGATTGATATTTCAACATAGTTTATATTTTTACCTCTCTAACTGAAAATGATCTAGATTGTCTTTTTTATCTTTTCCAGATACTTAGCTTAAATTTTATTAAATATTCACTAATTAATATGTCCCTWTTTCTGGGACATTTTAGGCATCAGTTGAAGGATACAAGCAAGCTCAAGTAACTAGCAAGAGAGACAGTGGTTCCATGTCATCATCAGATCAAGAGTAGATTAATTTATTTGATAAGAAAATAGATTGGAAGTCATAGTCAAATTACAAAAAAGATGCAATYGAATTTTAAAATGACTTGATTTTTGTTCCTAATTGTTAAGAACAAACAAAATATGCCTTTTAAATTTTTGTGTTTCATTCATAATTTTTTTAATGCATTTATTCATTCATTCATTTATTCATTCATTTATTTGCATGAACGTCAGGCAAGCATTTTTTTTTGGTCCAGTTATTTTATAATTTAACTGGGCTCCCTGTGGTTAAATCCTTTAATTACGTCACATCCTCCTAAAAATCGCGCCTTTTATGTTAATTAGCGGCGCGGCTGCCCGTAGCCGGAAGTAGCATTTTCTACAACAGCTAGTTCGGTTCAGGAAAAGTTAATATGGCCGAAAGAAATATTCTCGTTCACCACAACCTCTGGAGTACGTATTTCAACTCAGAAATGTCTTTAACAAGTCAAAGTAAGGAATAGAAATATTTTATGTTTTACTTTAAATATCTTCATTTGGATTTGTTTTGCAGTGAGCTTATCATCATCTATATTTTTCTTAATTTTTGGAAATCCTTCAGTCTTTCGGTCGATGTAAGCTGATAAATCTAAAAACGAAGAATGTTTACTTTTTAAATTACCATGACATTTGTTAGACATAATTATTTCAAAAAACATTTTAACAGTTAGTTTCGTACTCGTTCCTCTGCATGGATAAAACGCCGGCAACCAAACTTTCACGATTATTTCTGGGACACTCGGGGTCGTCCTGGTTATATATGTAAAACCCACTGTCTGTTGCCTCCTTTCATTGAACTTTTGGAGATTTTTCCATTAGCGGCTTACCAAACTYGATTGTATTTTCAGGTTGGAAATGGAATGGGTATGGCAATGACTTTTATACTTAATATTC